CTTGCACAACCTACACCTTGGGTCTTGTCTGGTGTGGTAGATCTGGGCCTCTATTGCTCTGGTGTTTAGGGCCTGTTCCTGGGCGGCCAGGATGAGGGCCTCTGTGCTGTCCTTGAGTCCAGCTTTTTCCAGCCATTGGTAGGATTTACTGATATCAGCCACTTGGGTTATTTGCTGGTGGTACATCCCATGTAGGGGTTTGTCCTCCCATGATGGTATCTCTGGCACCTCAACCTCCGTTCCCTTTTGTCTGAGACATTCACTGAGCACATTGTCTGTTGAGGCTTTGTCCCTGATGTATTTATGGATCTTAGTTGTTTCGTCCTGGACAGTGGTTCTCACACTCACTAGTCCTCTGCCTCATTCCTTGCGGCTCGTGTACAGTCTCAGGGTGCTGGATTTGGGATGGAACCCTCCATGCATTGTTAGTAGCTTTCTGGTCTTAACATCCATGGCCTTTATCTCCTCCTTTGACCAGCTAATTATTTCAGCAGGGTATCTGATTACTGGCAAGGCATAGCTGTTTATCGCATGGATTTTGTTCTTGCCATTGAGCTGGCTTCTCAGGACTTGCCTTATTCGTTGGAGGTATTTAGCTGTGGCTCCTTTCCTTGGACCTCATCGAGGTTGCCATTTGCTTGTGGTATACCTAGGTACTTGTAACTGTCCTCTATATCTGCTATTGTTCCTTCTGGGAGTGAGACTCCTTCTGTGTGGATGACCTTCCCCCTCTTTGTGACCAGCCGACCACATTTCTCTAGTCCGAATGACATCCCAATGTCCGTGCTGTAGATCCTGGTGGTGTGGATCAGTGAGTCGATGTCTCGCTCACACTTGGATACAGCTTGATGTCATCCATGTAGAGTAGGTGACTGATATTGGCCCCATTTTTGAGTCGGTATCCGTAGCCAGTCTTGTTGATAATTTGGCTGAGGGGGTTCAGGCCTATGCAGAACAGTAGCGGGGACAGAGCATCTCCTTGGTATATGCCACATTTGATGGACACTTGTGCAAGGGGTTTGCAGTTGGCTTCAAGGGTGGTTTTCCACAGCCTCATCGAGTTTGCAAAGAAGGCTCTCAGAGTCCTGTTGATGTTATACATCTCTAAGCATTCAATGATCCAAGTATGCGGCATTGAGTCATAGGCTTTCTTGTAATCAATCCAAGCCATGCACAGGTTGATGTGTCTGGTTTTGCAGTCTCGGGCAACTGTGCGGTCTACGAGGAGTTGGTGTTTGGCTCCTCTGCTATTTACACCGATACCCTTCTGTGCCGTGCTCATGTGTTTATCCATATGTTTGCTTATCTTGGCCGCTATGATGCCTGACATGAGCTTCCAGGTTGTGGAGAGGCAGGTTATTGGTCGGTAGTTGGGTGGGACTGGACCCTTTGATGTATCCTTCTGGATTAGGATTGTCCGCCCTTCAGTTAACCATTCAGGGTGAGTCCCTAAATGGGACTCACCCTGGCACTCGTCACTCAGAGTGCCTCTCAGTGCTGAAAGTCACTCAATGCTTTTTTTTTTTTCCCTGGTTCATCTGGTCGCTCATGGAGAGCAGTGAGTTTCTTTAGCCAGTAGGCATGGATCATGTCAGGCCCTGGTGCTGTCCAGTTTTTCATACCTGAGACTCTTTCTTGGACATCTGTCACAGTGATGGTTACCGGGGCTTGCTCAGGGAGGTTGCTGTGGTCCTCTCTTAGAGAGATCAGCCACTGTGCATTGCTGTTGTGGGACGCCTCCCTTTCCCATATGCCTTTCCAGTATTGTTCCGTCTCCAGCCTTGGTGGGTCTGCTCTGTTGTTATTGTTACCCTGCCATTGGGAGTACACCTTAGCTGGTTGAGTGGAGAAGAGCCAGTTAATCCTTCTGGATTCATTCTCCCTTGTGTATCTCTTTAGGCGGCTGGACAAGGCTTGGAGCCTCTGTTTGGCAGTTTCAAGTGCTTCAGGTATGGGCATCTGACTGTACTTCTGGGTACTGGTCTTTTCATTGCACCCTTGTGGAGCTCTGACAGTTGGCTCACTTCCCTCCTTGTTACCTTGATTTTAGCCTCTAACCGTCTTTTCCATGGTGGGTATTGGGTCTCATGGTTGCTCTTATAGCCAAGCGTCTCAAGGATCACTGATGCTGAGTTGTAAATCAGCTCATTGGTTTCTGTTATGGTGTTGGTAGGGATCGTTGTCAATGCTGCATTCACATTCTCAATGAGACTTTCAGATGGTACTTCACTCAGCCGTTGTAATTGGTGCCGGGGAGGTCTGGTTGTCATTCGGGTCATGATTCTCTCTCTCAGGTCAGCAGCTGTCTCGTTCAGCTCTGTTTCGCTCATTGGGGCTGTGTATCCCCTCACTGGGTGGGGACTTGTAGTTAAGTCCCACAGTCCTGACATCCGGGTTCCTCCCTTTTGCCGTAGCATTTGTGTTGTATCTCGTCAATCTCAAGTTGTGATAGCAGTTGCCGTTTGTGGATGTTGGAACACTGAGCTACTAGTTGTTTAGCGCTTAGTGTTGACTGGGGATGTCGAAGTAACCATTCCTTCCCCAGTCTTTGCATGTAACCTTACTTGAGTAGTAGCATTCCAACAGATCCACATTTTCATCTCTCGCCCATTTCCGTCTTGTTCCAGTAGCCCATTTGTCATCAAGGTGCTCTGGTTCCCCAACACCTGACGCAGACCTTGTTTGGCCGGGCGACGTCTGAGCCGGCATGTTATGCAACTTAGTATCTCTCATGGTATGAGGTAGTGTTAAGAATTAAAAAGATAAAGAACTTGATCTTAGCTCGTTAATTAATTCTTAGTCCCGAATTCCTGTGTCTGTGTAAGTGTGCAGAGAGAAAAGAGCAATCGTACGACGTCAGACTTCAGATATTCAGAGTTTTATCCAGAGAAAATCAATCCAAGAAGAACTTTACAATAAGCCTCTCACCTAGAGCAAAAGTCCAAGATATTACAAAACAGAGACAAAGAACTGAGTAAAAAAGACAACAGATTAACAGAAGATGCATCCTCCGGGAAAACTCTCACTCAGCACAAAGAGATTCCAACTTCTGCTGTAAACCAAATCATTTTATAGAATGCGTAATCTCATCATTTAAATATATGCATTAGGAGTGTGTTCTTTTCCTTTGTGTGGGCTGTCTCAATGTTAATTTTATTACCTCCTGCTAAAGAGCCCCAAAAGCAGATATACGGCAAACCCTTCTCGTATCAGCCGCTGTCCAGTTTGATATATGATTGCAGCTGCAGCGCTATCTGTGCCTCAAAATGTTTCCACAAGAAAGTAGTTTGTATTTTTAACCAAGCTTGCACACAATGTAATGCTAAATAATGACTATAAGTTTGGATCTAATAAGTAACTATTTAAAAACATGCTTAAAGAAATATAGTTAATTCTAATATAGATAAATTATTTATAAAAAGTTTTAAGATCCTAGTGAACTTTTGAACCATGCTCAGGAATTTGTTAATTGCCTGGCATATAGGCTCCTTATCTCAAGAGATCCAAGGAGTCTAGGCCTATGTTTTCTGTTTCTTCTGTCTGATCCTCCTTTTAAGAATTTATCTGCGTTTCAGAGATTGAGCCGTTGTTTTTTAGTTTCATCTAAATTTATATGAACCTAGAGTGTACTTTAATTTTCTATGTTATATTTTATATGTGTCAAAGCTATCCTGTGCAGTATTGTGCTAATTTAAAATATTATTTCAACAGTAGGCAGTAGCTTATATATATATATATATATATATATATATATATATATATATATATATATATATATATATATATATATAGTTCCTTTGTAACTAAGATCAATACAGTATTTCTGTATTTCTGAATTGAATTAAAACAGAACAAATATCTGTACCAATGTTAAGACAATTTAGTTCTTAAAGGCTCAAAGCTCAGCAGTCGGCTGTAATTGGATCGACCAAATCCTCCTGAATTCAGTTACATCCTCTTGTTTCTTTAGCTGCTCAATATGTTCATGTATGTGGGAAACGCTGACACTCACTGCTGAGGATCTTTAAATCTACTGACACTTTATTACACAATGATTCACAAGTAAAACTAGATTTTTTCATCCAGATTTCAGGTTTCTTTTCAAGTGGCCAGGCCTCCCAATAATCTCTTTTTTTCTTTGTTTGTTTTTAAGTTATATTTATTATTATTGTCCATGTTCATGATGTCACATTGTTGAGTTTGGTGAGTTGAAAAGAAATTCCAAAATAATTCGGCAGAACTGAGTAATAAATACAAATACAAAATAGATTCTAAATTAAATGTGATTATTTTTGTGACTTGATATTTTTCTAATTCTAGCAAATATTTATGCTGTTATGAAGCAATTAGTACCTGATACAAAGTTATTTGCTTGAGTTAAACAGAAGCAGATTGGCTCAAAATTGTAACACATTTAAAAAGTTATTTTATTGTTGCTAAAATACTTTCTATGGAGAGCTATTTCAGCCAAAATTAAATAAATAAATAAATAGGGGGAAATTATTTAATTTTGACTGAAATGGCTCTCCATATCTGTCTGCCTCGCAATGTTATTTTAAATATTAAATTTTAAACTGGAAGATTTTACAGATGTAAATTCAAAACGTGTTTCTTCTCTATTATTGCTGGTAAAAGATTATTTAAATTGCGTCATAAAAATCATCTTGTATGTGTGGAAACAAAACATCTGAGGATGTGCAGAAACCCTGAAGGCTGAGCGTGCAACTTGAAGCAAAAACAACAATGAGACATTTTTAAAACAAATGGCATTTCAAGAACCAACACACAGTTATGAAGAATTCCTCTGAACCACCCACAAGCTGGTTTACAGCCTTTGCCGAGATGGTTGGACCGGTCCAGTTTGTTTTTACAGGTAAGACCGGGGATTACTCATGCAGGCAGCAGCCTGACTGGGCCGGGTCCAACCGTGCGCTCCTCGATCTAATCTCTGCTTTTCGGTTAAGGAAAAGCCAGAAAAACGAGATCCAGATGCATCTGTTGTCATTTTTTTTTTAATTATCTGAAGACATGCAGCCCTAACGACGATAAGCCTGATGAACGATAACGTCATTACGTCACAGAGCGGCAGGGTTTCGGTCCTCCTCCAGGTCAATCCACCTGTTGCACCACCTGGATCGGAGCAGCGCGCAGGAGCGCAACCATGGGAGGTAGGAAGTCCCGATCTGATCATTTATTACCGATATTGGTTTGGATTTTAAAGCGTGGAGGCTGGATGAATGAGCTGTAACATTTATGAATGGAAATGACTTGAATATTCGCGTTGTTGAGTGACTGAGCGGATGAACAATGGTGACAAGCAACACCGTTTGTTTTTTACCTGTAACGTTTGTATTGTTTGTTTGCAAATAATTGGTGATTTAGTTCATATGTATATAAACGAAATTGATTCATTATCTCAAGTAAGACACCACGAATAGACTTTGTTTATTTCTGTTAATTATGGGGAGTTTCTACTTACATCTAATGAAAATATTAGAATATTACATTATACCAATTAGAAAAACAACTAAGTTCTAATAGACAAAGTGGGATAAGTGAAAATTATGTTTAATACCTGCTTAAAGTTGATTGGATTTAAAACTATAACCTTTATGAAAATGACCAGAACAATCACATTGTTTGCAGACTGAGCGGGACAGGACAATGACAGTCCAATAACACACACACACACACGCACACACACAAACACTCACACACACTTATTTATTACATAACTATTGTAATAATTATGTGCTGTTACAATAATATGTATTTAGATTTATCCATCCATCCATTGTATCCGGGGTCGGGTCACTTCTTCCAGCTCCTCCTGGAACCCCAAGGCCTTCCCAGGCCAGCCGGGAGACACAGTTCCTCCAGCATGTCCTGCGTCTTCCCCGGGCCTCTTCCCGGTGGGACGAGCCCGAAACATCTCCCCAAGGAGGCGTCCAGGAGGCATCCTGACCAAATGCCTGAGCCACCTATTTAATTTACTTACAGTCATATTTAATTTACTTACAACATCCCACTCACATTTTATACTGTATTATATATCTATATTCTAATATATCATATTGTATTATATTCTACAGCTTATGGTTATACTTGTACTTACTAATATTTAACACCCTGGGTGGAGTAGCTTGTCAACACAAAAGCAATTTCACATAAGCAATTTCCTCTTGGGGATGAATAAAGTATATTCTATTTTTAAAAAATAAAAATAAAAACATTTTTGAGCTAACATATCTAAACAATTTATTAACTTACCTTTGAAGTTCTTTATGAAGTTTTACACATACAGCTTAAATCATTTGTCATTGTTGGACCTTTTGAGAATGTCTGAATAATTACATAAACATAATTAATAATCCTGCAGCGGCTGAGGAGCCACTGCTAACATACTGCGCACTGGAAGTGGGACCTGGAATTGTTTGTTTAACAAAAATGCGAAGTCATTTTTTCTGAATGACTTCGCAAGTCATTCAGAAAAATGGAGGGAAGGAGAAAAAAATGGAGAAAGAGAAAAAGCAAAACGTTGACAGTTTATTCAGAGGTTGACAAACAGGAAGATCCGGACTGAATGACAAATTTTAAACACAAAAAACAAATTACTGAAGATGTGATGTATAGTTATGTGTGAACAGTGACACACAGGGGGTGTATATTCAGTGGGTCAAAGATTAGTTTCATTGCTGAGTTATCAGCTTGTTTAAAATGAGTGATTGGGAAAAGTTCATATGGTACATTTTGACCTTTTCTGGGTTAGATTCCAGCAAACCTGATTCAAATATTTGCATTTCCTCCTGCATCAGGGAAATACCTAAGCATGCAGGACAACCACAGCTTTATATTGTGTTCATTTAGAGCATTATTTTATCTACTCAAGGAAAAGACAGGAAAATTTAATGTGGATGCAGTGAAAATCTGCAAAACCTTTAGACTCCAGATATCATCTCCAGCACTTTAAGCTGGAAAAACAGATGGGAAATTAGGAGCCAGGTGGGGGGATTTTGACATTTCTAAACTTTAACATTTTTTCTAAAGACTGATGTCTGCAGAATGAACCTTTATGGAACACTCTTCCCGACAACAATCAAACCCAAGCCCTAAAAATCTCGGTCTCAGTTTGTTTGAAGGAAACTCGAATGCATATGTGAATGCCAAGCGGACCATAAACTGCTCCAAGAGCAGGAAGTGGACTCAATTTACCAGGGCATTCTAGGTAAATACAACCAAAACATGAGAGCCTCATGCTAGCAGGACAAAACAAGTAAGAGAGCCTCATGCTAGCAGGACAAAACAAGCATGAGAGCCTCATGCTAGCAGGACAAAACAAGCAAGAGCCTCATGCTAGCAGGACAAAACAAGCAAGAGAGCCTCATGCTAGCAGGACAAAACAAGCAAGAGAGCCTCATGCTAGCAGGACAAAACAAGCATGAGAGCCTCATGCTAGCAGGACAAAACAAGCAAGAGAGCCTCATGCTAGCAGGACAAAACAAGCAAGAGAGCCTCATGCTAGCAGGACAAAACAAGCAAGAGAGCCTCATGCTAGCAGGACAAAACAAGTAAGAGAGCCTCATGCTAGCAGGACAAAACAAGCAAGAGAGCCTCATGCTAGCAGGACAAAACAAGCAAGAGCCTCATGCTAGCAGGACAAAACAAGCATGAGAGCCTCATGCTAGCAGGACAAAACAAGCATGAGAGCCTCATGCTAGCAGGAGAAATGCCTTGTGGTATTTTGCCATAGACAAAAGAGAAATCCTACACAAGCTAATTTCTGATGCTACTCCATTTTTCTTTACATTTTGCACAGACGGAAGTTGTTCTCATGTATTTTTTAGCTGTTTTTTTTTTTTTGTTATTTCCTTCAGTGGTTCTTGGTGCAGCGCCACCACAGGCAAGGAGGTGAACTGTTTTTTCAGAGTTCATTTGACACAGTGCGGTGTTAAAGCACACCAGCTGAAAATGTCACAAATGTTGCAACTTTGGTCTCCAATCGAAACTGATTGTCTGGTAGACTATCAGGTGAAAACAGATAGCAGATGTAGCCTAAATCTAGATCTGCTTTGTTTGTAAATGTTTTACCTGAGCAAAGTAATAATAATAATAATAATAATAAAAAAAACTCACAGCTTTTACAACAAAAAGAAGAAAAATTCGTGTACATAAAATCAAGACTCAGAGAGAATGGAAACTGATTTTCATAAACCACACATTTAAATGTTCAGTGGGGATGAAAATGGCGTGCACGGCTTTATTTGAATGCATAGGTACAGGCGTGTTCCACCTGATGTCATTTTTCTGATGTTTTTTTTCTTCCCGCTGCCTCTTCTAGGCGTCTATTCCAGTGAAAAGATGGCCAACGTTTTTGCCTATGAGAGCTCAGAACTTGACTGGTGTGAAGACAACTACAGATACTCTGAAAATGTTGTGGAGTATTTCAACACGGTAAGCTCCTCAGACAGAGCGTCATGCAAGAATGACCCGTTTCTACAGTTTGATGATGTTTAAAGTCATTTTGCACCTTTTCATTGCTGATTTGTTGTTTTCCTGCAGGTCAGCAGCTTTTTCTTCTTCATTGTTGCTCCTATAATGCTCTATCTGCTGCATCCCTATGCCAAGGAGAGGAGTCTGGCAATCCACATGGTCTGGATCATGATGATTTTTGTAGGCAAGTCCATTTTATTTCAATTAATTGTATTGGACCATCGAGTTACTATTTTTTGTATTAATATAATAAAGATAAAATCAGTAAAAACGTATTGGAGACAGCTGACATTGGGCTAAACCATTGTAAAATTTTTCTGATCTTCCCAAAGTATATCAAGATTTTTTAAAGAAACAGGCCCACAGCATTACACCTCCTCCACCATACTTAGCCACTGTTTTATGGCAAACACACTTGGAGTTGTTGTTACTGCTCTAGTTCACCAAAACCATGATTTAGTTAAACTAATTGCAGCATTTCTGAAATGTCTGCTTTTTTACATTTGTGATAGTAGAATAGAGATTACAATTGTTTTACATTTAGACTTGTCTGAACTTTTTGTTGTTGTTGCTCTAATTGTTGATATGAACATGAGTTTGTTTTACTTGAATAGCATGTACTCTTGTCTTTCCCATTTTGAATAGGAATCACATTATACTCAAGAGAAGCAGAAAATCATAGATTGCTAATTAAAATGTCTCCAATTGAAAAATATAAAGGCGATAGTGGTACAAAATATTTCAGTTTATTTATTTCATAGGAATTATTTGAATGATCTTTGATTGCAAGGTCAGTGAAAAACAATATAAACATTTTGTGTAGGATTTTATTTATCTAGTTAGCTAGTTAGTTATTATTTATTTATTGTATTTAAAGTCACCTGTAAGTCTTAGAAATGTCAGAACTCCACCAATCCTCACATCCTCAGTTTTAATATGTTCACGTTGTGTGTTTGTGGAAAGCAGGAATATTTTCCAGTAAGAGAGTTTGTTTTTCTGCAGGACTTTTCTCTGCATACTTCCACATGACTCTCAGCTTCGTGGGCCAGATGCTGGATGAACTCTCCATCTTGTGGGTGTTGGCTGTGGGATATGCCACTTGGTTCCCTCGTAAACTGTTTCCCTCTTTTATCAAAGACAGGTAAGTTTACTTTTAGACCACTCAACCAGGTGACAAATCACCGCCCTACCCTACGACAAGTTAGCGCAAGGTGTGCTAGTATTTTTATTGCCATCTACACTTACACACACCTCAGAAGGCCTTTAAACAAGAAACAAAGAACTGTTTATGTACGCTGTGAAAACCTGTCCTGTCTGCAGAGGCAGCAAGATTCATTATTCTAGATTAGGATGTCCATAGTTTGGCTCTTGGAATAATTTTTGTTGTTTCAAACTGGAGTTCAAGAAAAATAGAGCTGTAAAAACGTGATATTTTTTATTTTTTTAGGACTAGAGTTTTTTTTTTTTAATCACTGTATTTTTATTGAGGTTTTTTTCTTTTAATTCATACATACAGTTTGCGAATACAAAGAAGTGTTTATCCGACATAGAATAATATATGAAAAAAAAAAAAAATAGGTTAATTAATCCCTCAACTTAATCCCATTCAGCCCACCCAGGTCACTGCTCAGAAGGCCAATGCACTACGTTCCCATCCCTGTCAAGAATGGAACAAATTTTGATAAAATTTGTTTACCTAATTGATCTGGAACATCATTGCATATTTTGAAAAGAGTTGAGAAAGGGCCCCCATATTTCTTCAAATTTACCAGTTGAGTGTTGAAGAGAGCATCTAATTCTTTCCAGTTTCAGACATGACATAAGGTCACATATCCACTGTTTATGAGTAGGAGGAGCAGCACCCCTCCACCTGATCAGAACTGTGCGCCTCGCTAGCAGTGAGCAAAATGCCAGTGCCCTTCGTTTAGAAGCCGATAAAGGCAACTCCTTTCCACTAAAACTGAAAAGGGCCAAGAGAGGGCCAGGTGTCACCACCACTCCGGCCAAACCAGACATCGTATGGAAGACATCTTTCCAGAAGCGACCTAGAGCGGGGCAGGACCAATACATATGAACCAGTGTGGCTACGGCAGTTTTGCATTTGTCGCAGTATGGGGTGACTTCTGGATAAAAACGAGATAGTTTGCTTTTGGAAAGATGGGCTCTGTGTACTATTTTGAACTGAATGAGACAATGGCGTGCACACAAAGATGTTGTATTCACTAGTTTAAGTATAGAGTCCCATGTGTCATCCAGTATAGTAATATCCAAGTCTTCTTCCCAAGAAGTTTTAAGATTAGATGAGGAGGTCTCCGTCAAACTCAACATTTTACTATAAAGCCACGAAACCATACCTTTACGAGTCGGGTTCAATGATAAGATAGCTTCCAATAAAGTGTCCTCTGGCAGGGAAACTGAGCCTGATAAGTGAGACTGAATGAAGTTTCTGGTTTGCAAATATCTAAAAAAGTGAGATTTAGGTAAACCATACTTATTGCCAAGTTCCTCAAAGGATGCCAAACTCTTCTCCATGAAAAGGTCTTTAAAATGAGTAAGCCCCTTCCGGTGCCACTCTAAGAACACCCCATCCTGAACAGATGGTCTAAAAAGGTGGTTAAGTGGACTTAGGAGGGAAAAATCATGGAGTTTAAAGTATTTTCTAAACTGGCCCCATATTTTCAGTGAGTGTTTCACTACAGGGTTTAAAATGGTTTTAGACGAAGAGAGTGGAAGTGGGGAACAGAGCACAGCCGGGATGGATATATCATTACCACTGCGCAGCTCCATAGCCACCCAGTCAGGACAGCCACCCCGGTTATGATAAAAATACCAAAACACTAAGCATCTAAGGTTGGCGGCCCAGTAATAAAACCGGAAATTGGGGAAGGCAAACCCCCCCTGTTGTTTAGGTTTTTGGAGTTGTAATTTATTGAGCCTTGGGCGTTTACCCCGCCAGATGAAGGACGAAAAAGTTGAGTCTAGCTCATTAAAAAAGTACCAGGAATAAAATAGGTAATGCCTGAAAGAGGTATAAAAATTTGGGTAGTATATTCATTTTAATTGAGTTAATACGCCCCACAAGGGACATGGAAAAGGGCGTCCACTATGTAAGGGATCCCTTCACTTGGTTCAACAGTTGGATCAAATTCTCCTTGAACAACAAATGTTTATGTTTTTTTGTCACTGTGATGCCAAGGTATGTGAATTTTTGTTTTTCGATTCTAAACGGGAGATTTGACAACTCTGACGTATTAGCTTTATTACCTATGGGAAAAAGTTCACTTTTAGTAAGGTTCAGCTTCTATCCAGAAATCTGACCAAATTGACTTAATACATCCAGAACAAAAGGCAGTGAGGTTGATGGTTTGGAAATAAAAAGTAAAAGGTCATCTGCATAAAGCGACACTCTATGTTCCATGTCATTCCTCCAAATGCCGGATATCTCTTTACTGGTCCTAAGTGCAATGGCGAGGGGCTCTATAGCCAGATCAAAAAGCAGGGGGCTAAGAGGACTGCCCTGCCGGGTGCCTCTCTGTAATTTAAATGGTTTTGAAGTCTGAAAATTGGTACGAACCACGGCAGACGGTTGCTGGAATAATAGTTTAATCCATGAAATGAAGTTTCCTCCGAAGCCAAATCTACTAAGAACAGCAAAAAGATAGTCAAACTCAACCCGGTCAAAGGCTTTTTCAGCGTCCAAGGAGACAACACACTCATCCGAATCTGTGGCACTGGAATACATGATATTAAGCAACCTTCTAACATTAAAATACGAGTGTCGACCTTTAATAAATCCTGTTTGGTCTTTAGAAATAATTGATGGTAGAACAGTTTCAAGTCTACGGGAAAGAATTTTGGCCAAAATTTTAGCATCTGTATTTAGGAGAGAGATTGGTCTATATGAGGCGCATTCCACAGGATCTTTGCCTTTTAGGGTTAGGCTTCGTAAAATGATTGAGGGAGGGATCCGTGTTTAAAACAGTCAGTAAGAGTGGAGCTGAGCTGCACTGCGAGTAAGTCCGAGAATTGTTTGAAAAATTCTGAGGGAAGACCGTCCGGTCCTGGGCATTTACCAGATTGCATTGAAGCTATTGCTAGGGAGACTTCTGCCTGGGAAATGGGTTCATCTAACCTGTTCTTAAGTTCTGGTGAAATTACAGGGATGTGAAGTTTAGCTAGAAAATCATCAGTCATGTTAGGATTGGTTTGTGATTGTGAGCTGTAGAGCTCCTCATAAAAGTTTCTAAATGCATCATTAATTTGACAATGATCTGTGACTATACTGCCATCTTGTTTTCGAATTCTAGAAATAGTTTGCTTTGCCCTCGAGCCCTTAAGCATGGTTGCTAATAATTTATCGGGTTTGTCGCCATGCACATAAAATTTGGATTTGTTGTGTAAAAGCAGGCGTTCAGCTGAGTGTGTTGTCAGTAGGTCAAGCCTTGTTTTAAGTTCAATACGTCTTCTAAACAGTTCAGGACACTGATTCAGAGCATATTTTACGTCAATCTCTTTGATTTGTTGAATTAGGTTGTTCTGTTCATGGGTGGACTGTTTTTTAATTTTTGCTGAATAGGCAATAATCTGGCCTCTGATATAGGCCTTAAAAGCATCCCAAACCACAAGACTGGAGATCTCTTGGGAGGAGTTTGTAGCAAAAAAACGTATCTCATCTTGAATAAACGGTACAAAGTTTTCATCCGACAGCAGGGTTGAATTGAAACGCCAAGGTCCAGTTCTTAGGGGGAAGTGAGGAAGGGACAGTGACAGAGTAAGTGGGGCGTGGTCTGAAATAACTATGCTTTGATAGTCACAGGAACGGATCTGCTGTAGCCATTTAGTATCTGTGATAAAATAATCAATTCTCGAATAAGTTTTATGTACATGTGAGAAGTAGGAGAACTCCCTCTTGTCTGGATTAAAAGTTCGCCACACATCACACAGCTCATATTCAGATAAAAAGGTTTGGATGACTGATGCAGACTTGCTTATGACATTACTTTTAAGAGACGAGCGGTCCAAAACTGGGTCCAGCCAACAGTTAAAGTCACCCTCTAGGACCAATGAATATTTATTAAGGTCAGGTAGGGAAGAAAATAGTTGTTTAAAAAAATTCTCATCATCTGTATTAGGAGCGTAAACATTGACCAAGGCGACCAGGGTGTCGTACAATTTCCCACAAACTATAATAAATCTGCCTTGTTTATCAGCTACCACATTATCGGCCTCGAATGGAGTATTCTGGCTGATCAGTATGGAGACCCCCCGTGCCTTTACCTGAAAATGGGAGTGAAAACATTGTCCCTTCCAACATGTCAGGAGACGACCCCCGTCTGAGCTCCTGTTGTGAGTCTCCTGCAGAAACGCCACATCCGTTTTAAATCGTTTAATATGGGAAAAAACCTTCCTTCTCTTCACTGGGTGGTTTAAACCTTTGACATTCCAGCTTAAAAATTGCAAGTGTTGACTCATAATTTCAAAGTTTGTGTGTTACCTTACTTTGACAGGTACGATAAGAATATGGCAGGCAGAGAATGGAGCAAAAGAGATGAAAAAGAAAATAAAAAATTACAGTAACCTGCAAGACCTCTGATGGTGACCTTATCCTCCCTCTTAACATTCCCCCCAAACCTAAACAGCTGCCAAACAAAAAAACAACAATTTGGCAGCAAGCTCTTCAAACTTAACATTCTCAAAGACCCAATCCTCCAGTAACTAACAACCTCAGAATAAGAACTAGAAAAAACAGACTTAACAATAGCAAACTAACCCCTGCTCCTAGTAGGCACGGAGTAGGTGTAGACCCCCCACAGTGATGAAGATTTTGAAGACACCTTTTACTGGCCTCCATGAACACTATAAAAAAAAAGCAATGCAATAAAGTTTAAGGCTTAAAGTAACCACAGGGAGTGGTATTAAAAAAAGGCTTTGAAAACTGTTGGGACAGAACAAAACAGGTATTAATGAAGCTACACCTCCATTCATAAAGTCCAGCAACAGCTAAACGGTGGCCAGACCCCAAACCACCATTATGAGTAGGGTTAAATGACAACAGGCTATATTTACAGTACCTGCTGTGCCCCGAGATAAGCAGCCCACCCTGTTTCTGGAGTAAACCCTCGGCAGAGTGTTGCTCCTTTATTGGACTTCCTGTGGTTTTGGAAGCCGCTTGATGAACTGTTGAGCCTCTTCCACCGAACCGAGGAGTTTCTTGACACCGTTGGGCTGCGTTATACGAAGACGGGTTGGGAAGAGAAGAGCCGGCCTCAGGCCCCGCTTGTAGAGATCCGCCATGACGTCCTTATATTCTGCCCGCTGGGCCAGCACGTCTGGGCTGTAGTCCTCCACAATACGAAGAGACGCGCCTTTGTAGTCGAAATTTCCTCTCCTCCTGGCTTCCCGGATGATGAGGTCTTTGACCAGGTACCGATGCAGGCGGAGGATCGCCGGGCGAGGTGGACGTCCTGCGGGCCGCTTCGCTGCCAGAGAGCGGTGTGCTCTGTCGAGCTCTGGTGGGGTCGGGAGCACCTCTTTCCCAAAAAGTTCGCAGAGAAGGTTGGAGAAGAAATGAGTAGGGCGCCCACTTTCAGTGTCTTCGGGTAGATACGGATGTTCTGTCGTCTGCTGCGGCTCTCCAAGTCAGTCACCTTGTCCTTTAGCTTAGCATTGTCTTCACGGAGAGCAGCACACGAGTCTTCGAGGCTAGCCACCCGCTGGCCCAGATCCTCTGCCGCGAGCTCCAAAGAGGAGACTCGTTCAGCCTGTTCTTCCAAGGCCTGGCGCACCTGATCCAGCTTGGAGCTTAACATGTTGACAGAGGACCTGAACTCAGACTTCAGATCCTCACCGTGCTGCTGAAGTAGTGCGGTGATAGCCTCTAGCGTTAAGCTAGTGTCCTCTTTCTTACTTTCTTTCATGCTCTTACCGGCCATTACTAGTGGATATATAATCAAAACACTAGCCAAAAAGTTTTTATATTAATTGGAGGCGGAAAATTAACTTTCTGTGGGGTGAGTTTAATTAAAAGGTTGGATTTTGCTACGTCTACCCTGACCGCATGGCAAACCGGAAGTCTCAGGACTAGAGTTTTAATGACAGATTTAGATCTCCTTTAAGGAGACCAAGTGTGGAAAAATTCACATTTTTACTCTTGGATTTGAGTCTCAGCTACTTCTAAGAACAACAACACTTAAAAACTCACCCTGTCATTTTTTCCCAATATTGTTTGCTGCCTAGAAAGCCCAGGCATTACGCTGTTACCTAGCAACTCCAGCCGAGCCCAGCCCAGTTACCGAGCAACCCAAGCAGAGATCCAACACATTTGGTCAGCTGGTTTTACTCCTGTTCATCCCAGCAAAACACTTGCTGGAAAAGTCAAGTGTTTTGTTGTTGACTTACCATCCAGAAGCTGCATTATTGTTTGTTGTGCAAGAGGCTCCATTTCTTCTGCTTTTTGGTCGATTTAGGGTTAAAGCTGTATATTGTGTATCTATTTGCAGCCATTTTCATGTGTGAGTGTAAAACATTAAGTTAGGGGCCGTGACCAGCAGCAGCTTATATGGATTTAAAGTGGCAAGAAACCTCAACAAATCTCAAAATAGGCAGAACTGAGGCAACTAAAGCAACATTTTTATTCAAAGTCAGATTTTGGTGCAGCCATTAGTTATTGTCTGCAAGGAATAAACTAAAAACATTTTCTCAACCAATGAAATAAAAACTATTTGATTCAAAAGTTTCTCATTTTTATTCAAACAAATAATGGGAAAAAAATTATTTGCACTAACAGTCAAAACAAATATGTTTACTTGGTTTTGTGTTTTTATTTTTGATAATCATTAAGTAAATAACAGAAGTGCTGTCATAGCTTTAGAAAGAAAGAAAGTGCCAGTGGGATTATTTATTAGTTTAGCAACAGGCTTCAATTAGTAATTTATAAACATGATTAGTTGTACATAATTTGGAGTTTTGTATTGTTATTATTGAGTTTTGGAATAAAAATGTTATATTTTCATTAATATTTGTGGTGTTTTTGTGCAAGTGACCCTCCAATGATGTGACATTATTACAGTGACCTCCAGTTCATTTGAGTTTGAGGTTCTGCATTACACTGATCAGTCGTTCTTCTCTCATGTTAAACCTTGTTTTCCTTCATGCATTTGTTTTTTCAGTTGAGCATTATGTAAATAGATTGTTCCTAAATGTTTACTGAAACTTTCTCCACTGACCACAGGTCTACATTTTCCCAGCTCGTCCTTTTGATCACTGTCATTACTTCTGTGTCATCGTTTGTCAAACCTACGGCCAACGCCTACGCCTTAAACTGTTTTGGCCTCCACCTTCTGTACACCTTGGCTGTGGAAATGAGATGGTAAATAAATCAATCAAAACACGCAGCTTTTTGTTTTCAGTGTGACTACAGATCTTTTCTTAACCTCAGCTGCACTGACCAGAAGGCTCTACGTCTGGCCAAGCTGTCGGTGGCTCTGTGGGTCCTCGCCATCTCCTGCTGGATTAGCGATCGTTTGTGCTGCAGTTTCTGGCAGCGGTTGAACTTCTGCTACCTTCATGGGATCTGGTAAGACCTATGGTCACTTCCTGATATCTGATATATCAGATATCAGATTTTACTCACAGAAAACAAGGCTGTGAGTAATACACATGGAGCTTTTCTGTGACATTTCAAGTTATAAAAATACTCAATAAACACAAAACTTCTTGTGTGCAAATTGTTATGTGCAAATCTATGCTTAAAGTGAATCGCTAAATAAAGTGCTTGTTTAAAAAGTGCCTTTAAAGTGCAATGCAGTGACTTAAGTAAAAATAGTCCCAGGAATGAAGATCTCTTCATTACAACCTGCAAGAGTTTTTTACAGTAGAACGAGGGGCTATTTTTCTGTCTGCCATATTGGATTTAACAGCAATTTTCTGCACTTGCAGTTGATGGCCAGTAGGTGGCAGTGTATTGTGTGATGCACAAGTATCCACTTCAGAGGTCTGTGTGCATTTGTAGCTTAAAAATCCACAAGAAACACAAGGAAATTGCTTCTGGACAAGCAGTCTCCTGCAGTGACCACTATGCATGAAAGTGTTAAAGCAACAAATTTGTTATTATGTCTTGACAGTATAATGTGAGAAACATAACCTGTGAAAAGACTGAGTTCTCCAAATCTTCCCAGTTCTATTATTTCTGTCAGAAGAAACATACCACTCTTGGTCAAAAACAGTCAATAAACCTAGGGTATGCGCCACTCAATGCGCTAATGGTAGATAAACAATTTACAGTTATAGAAAGCAGGATATCATTGTGCATATTCTGTTTCATCTGTCTTTCAGGCACATTCTCATTGTGATGGCAGTAGCCTACGGCAGCACGCTGATAGCTTATCTGGATGCCAGCAATGAAATACCTTATTTGCTGCCAGGACTGGAGTACTGGCCCTGTGATAAATGGGCTGTTGGATTCCCCCACATTGTTCTCTCCAGCTCTCCAAAGACCCAAAAACGGTGCTGACGAATCATTACCCCTGGCATTTCATTTATTGTCAAATGTTTGCTTCACAACTGAATTGCTTTGCATTTGAATACTACTGAAGTTGGCATTTAAATGCATATCTGTAGCCCCCAAAACAATATAATCATAGAGGATAATAATGAGGTTAGTCGTTGACAAAACATTCATCTCAGCATTTCCTCTAAAGAGGTTTTTGTGTAAGCACCAAAAAGAACATTTGAAGCACTTTACAGTATAAAAAAAATTAGCACCAAAGTGCTGCATAGCAAAAACTTAATTAAGCTATTATTGCAAGTAGTAGTTATCTTTGCAACAGTGTTGAATTTGACACTCGACATGTACAGAACAATACAGCAGAGACTGATGCTATTTTTTTGCTATGTAAACATATATAAAATGTTACTAAAGTGAGATAATATAAAATATTTTTACATTTGGAGATGATTAAATGTGACCAAAGTCTGCAGAACTAACGTTTGCATAGCTAACTGCTAGCATAACTTCCTGGTGAGTCATTCCTCCAAGTCCCAACCTGGATTGTTTAGATTCAAATTTATTTGAGCCCCAAATGGGCAACTGATGTTACAGCAAGTATAAAAACTAAAAAACAAATGATCAAATATTAAAAAATAAAAAGCAACAAAACATACCAAAAAGACATGAAATACAAATCAATACATAAGAGTACAGCAGTGTGTTTCATTATTGACTGACTGTTGCTACAAACACTGAATCAGGTGCAAGTCCCCCTACCTTGTCCTGCATTAAAAAGAGATATTGCTGCACATTTAATGAAAGAAAAGCTTTGTCACACCAGTCAACAAAATCATCAGCCACAGGGCCATTGGCATGGTCATCATCATGTAGAAGGCTAGCTATCACCGAGTCATCTGCAAATTTTAATATTAACCTATTATCATGCCGGCTGTGACAGTCGTCCGTATACAACATGTAAAGGACGCAGCCTTGAGGCTGTCCCCCGTAGACAGGGACATCTCTCTGGACATGCATATAAAAACAATTACTGCTAATGTGTTGAAATTGTTCATTTAATGACATTAAAAGCAGCAAGAAATAAAGTCTGAAAGCTGAAGCAGACAGGAGGCTAGCGAACACTGCTGCTGTGTTTACATTTTTTTATTCCCAGTGAAATATTAGCGCCAGCTTCGTTTACCAGCTTGCGATGATGAAGAAGTGATTCTCAGTAGGATCCACTTGCAAAGAGGGATAGATATGGAAAACAAACCCCCAGCTCAATATGCTGCAAAGATAGTCATCAATAATTGGCAAAAGAAAAAAAATCCAACTAAAATCTTCTTTTAAAAGAATAACATCTGAAATGGGAATAATCATTGTAACATTTTACGTAGAGTTTCAGTTTTTTAAATGTGAACGAAACACTTCTGACAGACACAAAGTCAAATGAAATTATGTTTTCATTTCAGTTATTAAATTCTAATTTATTCTCATAATTGATCATATTTTTATATATTTTTTTAGTAAGTTTGGTTGTTTTTTTTATAAAGATGTCCAGAAACATGTGATTCTTCCGAATGTTTTAATATTACAGACGCTTGAGCAAATGTCCCAGTCTGGTTGTGTCCCATCTTGCGAGAATCATTGTTTTGTTTTTTGTTTCTTTTTCGCGACGTTTTAGGGCGTTCCATTGCAAATGTTGTATTTTTTTTTCATTGATCACGTTTTAATTTTGTGTGAGATATTTGTAATATTCCCATTGCCATTCTTTACCAATTTATTCTAAGCTTCTGATTTACATAGGAAACAAGCAACTAAATTAAAAACTGCTTTGATTTCATTTGTTCTATGGAAATTTTATCTAAATCCCATTTATTTATTTAGATATTTTTATTTTATTTTATTTTATTTTTACTGTGCACCCCAGGCAAACAAATTGTTTTTGTTACCATTTTTCTGATTATAAAGCTTTTTTATAGTATTATTGTTTTCTTTTCTTATTGAGAACTTAAGGGGAATTTAACAGCAATAATCAACCTTCAGATAGTAATTGTTATTTCTTAAAAATATTGAGAAATCTTGATTTGCTTCCATTTATAAAGAATAGTATTTTACTCTTTACTGTAATTTTCATTTTTACACTAACCATGGATGTATATTGTGAAAAAGTTAAACTTTTGTTTTAACTTTTTATCAATTACTATCAGACTTAAAATCTAATATTTAGTGTTATGACCGACATAAATTGTCCTTTCATTTATTTTACTTTATTTTTATTCTTTTTTTTAACCTTTTTCCGTGTTCTAGTACCTGAATGTGTGAAGTGCTTGATTTAATTTCATTGTTGTATGTTTATTTGACACTAATTTTAAAATATAAAGCTCTGAAATAAATCAAAGTAATGTGTATGACATTTATAGACATAAACAAATGACTGCTGACTGTGAAAGGGAGCTTATATTGGAGCTGTCCTCGTGTTGATGTTTGAAAATGAAAATTATATTCCGTTTTCTAAAAATGTCGATGCGGTTTTCTGAAAATTTATTTTGTGGAAAACCTGTAAGTTAGATTTTTTTTAATGAGTTCTTATTGTAATGCTGTTTTCTTTTGGGGTGTTTTGTACTTATGTTAGATATCGACTTATTCTTCGATAAACGTTTTGCTTCTTTCAGGTTCAGTGTTTGCTGGTTTTCTGAAGTGATTTTCTATAGAAACATGAGTTTGGATGTTTATTTATTGGATTGTGTGATATTTAGGGAACATTCAGGGAGACTTTGCTTCTTTCATGTGATTGTTATAAATTCAACAATGGATCCTTTCCACACACAGACTCATGTTCCACAGGAACAGAATCATACTAACCAGTCAAGCTGTTGAAAAGTCCAAATGAAAAGGTTACATAGACTAACAAATGGCATAAATGCTACTCATTTTGTTGGTTTAACTGTTTGAGTTGTTATTTTTTCAGGGTGAAGTGATTATGCAATAAGCAGCTCTAATAAACTTTTGTTGGGCGCATGTTGGCTTTATGGTCAGGACCAAGATTGTCCTGAAATTTTGAGAAAAGTTTCCTGTTTTTCACCACTAGAGGGCAGCAAGCGAATGCCAGACTCAGGTCTGACGTTCTGCTGCTACAAGAGGAATCTGTTCACTTCTGCCGGGTAAATGAACGTTCAGTTTAAGAAACGGAGCACATGCACTGAAGTGGATCCGAAGGTTTTATTAAAGGGCGGGTGTCTTTTTTTTAATGTAATGAAAATAAAATCCACAAAAAACTGTAAAAGAAAAAAAAAAATCAAATTTCCCACCATATATTTTGTCTAATTACAACAAAATGGACTCAAACTTTATTATCTGGTAAATAAAATATGTATTTAAGGTTATTAATTAAAAACTTCACCATGAATTATCAGAATAATAACTCTATGGGCAAATTTAGCCATTATATTTGTGCTGATTCATTCATTCCTAGGAATACACTAATGCAATTCAAGTATGTTTGAGTGTGTTTTAAATATAGTTATATATATTTTAGATTTTTATTATGTTAATTCATCCTTTTTAAAGCCTTAAAGTATTCAAAGGACGTTGTGGAAGATCTTGTTGACGCTCAAACACCCAGTACTTGATGGCAATCCAGACAATGATTGATAGACTTGGCAGAAAATTTGAATGTCATTACAAAAAATCCATTTATTTCAGTAATTCATTTCAAAATGTGAAACTCAGTTATTTATCTATGTTCATCTATGATATATAGTCAGTAAAAACATATTTGTTTGGGATGGTTATTGATTCTTGAAGCACAAATTCAGCTGCAGTTCACTGCTGGTGAATTTTCCTTCATTTTCTGCTTGCTGCTGTTATCAGTGTTTTTCTGCCATACTTTTTCCTTCCACTCAACTTTAAATTAATACATTTGATGCTGCACTCCAAGGACAATCACTCACTTTCACAATAACTTTTTTTTGGCTTCCTTATGGTGTCACTGACTGCTGACACCATATCTTACATTGATTATGTAAGATATAACTTGAACATAACATTCAGTTGAAAATAATCTTTTTTAATCCAAAAATCTTTTCTGAGAAACTTAATTTTAGACTTATATGAGCATATAAGCCATCATTTTTTAAACTAATAGAAATAAATGTTTTTAATGTTTTTGCAACATGTCATTGTGAAAAATGATCATTTGTTCTCAATCCATTTAAACAACAGTTAAATAAATGAAATAAGATAAAAATAAAATTGATTAAATTCTCGGTATAATTAGTTTATAAACAAGTTTCACTTTTTAAATTGAACAACTTTAATAAATCACCTTTTTGATGTTATTCTAATTTATTAAAACAGCAGCACCTGTCATTTGTGTAGAGGAAAATACATGATGCTGGTTAATTTCACAAAATATATCATGTAATGTGTATGAAATACAAAGCATTATAAGAAATATAAATATCTGGAATGATTGTTCTGACTTCCCTACATTTCCCATTCTTAAGGAAACTAAAACTAGAGTTTCAACTCTTTAATTAGTCAAGGTATTTAGATGTTTTTAAACAATGCCAAGCATATTTATTTTACACAATAAGTCAAAATTGCCAGCTGAAAAAAGAAGGAATCAGTCCCAAGTATTGTACATCCATGCTGCAATAATTGTTCAAATTAAGACTTTGTGACACTAATGACTTCCATTTATAGTCATACAGAGACATGCAGCAGAGATCTTAAGTAGGGAATTAAATCATGACAGCTGCATTGATGAATAATGACCTCATGAGGACTAATTGGTTACTGCCCCATAAATACTTTCTCTCTTAGTATCATCAGACTTTTAAGTTTATTGTTATATATAGAGTCTTTGGTTGTCATTGGATTTACTGAACAATATAAATTATACAATAATAGAGGTGACAGGTGAGATTTGCATGTGATAGTGCCTGCAGAGCTCAAATTCAACCTAATTTTATTGCCTTTTTTAGAGAAACAAGAGCAGTGGGATACATTTGGAAGCCTGGGCAGACTCAAGAGTTGATCACATACCTGTAAATGTGATTAATTAACAGTTTATGACACACTTTATTAAGATTTCCTTAATGGTCTTCATTAAATATATGTTTTCTTTGTTTACCAGTCAGGTAGAACTCTCAAATTAAAGAAATACTCCATTAGTCACGAAGTATGGTTGTAACTTATTATCTAAGGCTCATTAAAGAGATGCTGTGGATGCTGATGACTGTAGGCAGGAATGATCTCCTGTAGAAGTCTGTATTACAGTGGCCCTGAAGAAGCCTCTGGCCAAATTTTGAAAGTTGTTCATAATTTTCTTGATTTTATAAAAAATACTTCTTTGGATCATCATCTCCAGTGGTTCCACAGTAGCTGCCAGAACAGAACTAGCCTTCATCAGGTTGTAGAGGCTTTTTTTTTTTTTTTTTTGCTGTGACTCCAACAGATGATCACAGGATATGTTGCACTGTACAGGTGAACAAGGAGTTATTCATACACCTCGACCACTACCACTTTTTCTCCTTCTTTACCTAATCCTGTTTTTCTTGAAAGCTACAACCAGGTTGCAGAAGTTTATTGGAAAAAAAGGCACATTAGTTCCCTGAATATGAACAAGATTGTGTTGGTTTTTACATAAAATCCTATTAAAATGCATTAAAACCAGTCTTTTCAACATGTCAAAATGTAAGAAAATTAAAAATGTGTGAATACTTTCTTAAGTTGCTGTATATGTGAGTAAATTTCTGTTTTCTATTCCTTTATAATCAATTAGCATCGAGAGCATTTTATAATTGAAACTGAGCAGTAACTATTGGGAGTCTCTTGCTGTCACTCGAGACAACAACCAGAAAATGCTTCAATTGTATTTGCAGCTCGGTTATTGTCCCGCCTTTTCCCTTTTCCGATTGGCCAACATTCAGAGTGGGGCTTGAATTCGAAGCGTTCTGATTGGTCCGGAGGGCTTTCTGTTTTGGTCGCCTGCCAGCAGCCGTCTGGAAGGGGAGGGGAGCCGTCTGCCTTCCGCTTCTGGGGCTGGATTGACACACAATGAGGAGCAGAGAGGCCGGGGAGACGCTCCACAAACGCCGCTGTAAATAATTACAACAATCACAGAGGCCGGAGAAACATGGAGAACCAGGTAGGGTCCGTGTCTCCTTTCGGAATGGGAGGTTTTTACGGGGAAAGGGGGAGCACGCGGGCGGTTGGCTGGCAGGGCAGAAATGAATCTTCCTTTCTGCGCGTGAGAAAGGAGAGGAAAAAAAACTCGTAGTTGTTTGGTTCTGGAGCTGTGCTAGCTGGGCACTCATACATCGGTATTTACTACTACAGCTCTCAGCACCGCTGCCTAGCCACATCCAAGCACACAAAGAGACCCCCGCTTGGGTTTTTATTCTGCCCCGGTTCCTTCAGAAACACACGCAAACCGTCCACAGCTCGCGACAATCAGTTTATATCGGGGCTTTTGGTGTAGCTAAGCTAAGCTAATTTATGTATGAGGAGAGTGTCGGCCGTTGGCTAAAGGCTAAGGAGCAGCTACAAGGCGCCGGAGGTATAGATTTGTCCTGCCCCAGGTTAGGCTGCTGAGGCTGGGTGTTGTCTCCGCCGCCAACGGCCTGAAATCTGAACAACACAGAGGAGCTGATAACGCCAGGAATCTTACAACACTCTGGAGTATATTTGCATTATTTGCTCACAGCTGGTTAATGTTCACCACGTTCAGGACTGCACAGGGTTCCTACGCAGAATGGAAAAGTGTTGGGTCTTTTTCAGGTTGGATAAGGATGAGGAAGAAATGTTTGTATTTCCAGATTACTTAAATCATTGTCCAAAAGTTGCAGCCATGCATTTGTCCAGATATGTTTTTCTTTCATGTATCCATTGATTCAAACAATACATCTGTATTTACTTTTACAATTATTTTCCCTTTCATCTAGCATCTATTCATAAATCTACCTCTCAATACTTCATAGATGCATGCATATATATTTTTTTCATTCATTCATCAATGCATAGTTTTTCCATCCATACATCCATTGTTACCTGTATTTCTACAAAAATATATCTATATTTCAGTAGAGCCACTCATCACTGCACACACATTTCCAAAAAAATCATTCTTTTCCATATGTACCTCTTTTATTTCCTCCACTGACTTAAAAAAATCTATTATCATCTTCTGTACATATGAAAATACCCATAATTATCTATTTATCTAGAGGAGTTACAAACACCTGAAATTTTCTGATATTTCATAATTTATTTTTGTAATGCAGTGACTTTTTCCCCCATTTATTTTAGGTATCTAAAATGGAAAAGTATAAATGTCAATATTGCAGATGTGTAGTAGACCTGATTTTAAATTGGAGGAGGTAAAAATGGTCAGAAGTCACATGAATAGAGAAGGACAAGCTCCTTAGAGGTGTAGTAGCTAAATAACAGAAATAAAGTATGCCAAACTGATGCTTTGAGCTGAAGGACTGAAATCTAATGTTCAAACAATACAAGTATGTGTGTAAATTAAAAAATAAGACTGCTACAGCATTGCTGGAATAATTGTCCCTCAATTTATAACACAGGCTATGTTGCTAACCAGAATAACCAAAAAGCATAGTTTGTAGATACAAAAAAATGATTTTGCCAACAAATGTTAATAAATGAAATGTTGGTTTTAGTGGTTGTGCTACTTCTAAATGTATGAGCTGACTTGTAGTAGTAATTTTCTACAGCTCATGTTCCTAGTTTTATAAGTTGATATTTTTCCTGGTTAAACAGCAGCAGAGAATGTGAAGGCTCAAAAGAGACAGTCATCCTGCTTATACATTCTTTTTCTAAAGTAAATGTTGAGATATCTGATGGAAATTTGATCCTACACTGATTAAGTGCTCGTTAATCAAATCAGTTGGGGTTTTTTTTATGTAGCTAACTTGAGTCGTCTTCACTCAGTAACACCATCCAAACTGAAGAGTGTTGTCAACCAGATCCAGTAGTGATTATATATGTTGTATTTAGGAACCAGAAAAAAAACAGTATTTTTGAGGTTTTCATTAAACTCAAGCCACTCTCTTGGAGCAACTCTAATTATTGAATCAATACAAAGTTTGCTAAATTGTAATTTAGTACAAGATGTAACCCTAGTAGCATTGACAAAAGCAGGATTCGTCTGCAGACTGACGCAATCTTTACCATTTCCAAGGTTTTTCTTGCTTTTTGTAAATTTCAGGTGCCAATATGTCTGAAAAGAGGATTTGAGTTAATAGGTTGCATTTTTTTCATGATCTTCTAAGAATGTAAAGGAAGAAGTTCCCAAAATAATTATAGTTTAATTCATATTGTAAAAGTCTTAATGAATCAAACCTCGTTGGGTTGTTCTTTTTCACGGTAATTGGGAGCATAATGAACCTTGTGTTTTAAAATAAACCCTGTCATTAAGACTATAAAACAAACAAAAAGTAGGGTTTTTTTGCTTGCTGTTCATCTTCTGTAGACAAGTCTTCCCTCTACTTCTTCATTTATTGGTCTTATTTGCTCATAAAAATCCCTTTAAAACGATTTAAATATTGGCAGAAGTCTGCAGCTTTTAGTGTTTTATATGTTCTGGTTAAAGACGGTAAATGCATGTAGGTAAATCTATCAGACTGCGTATGTTAGTGGCGAATCCAGTCTCCATGACTTCACAGTGTAATGTATAATTTTAAGGGTTGGTTTCTAATCCACATTTGATTAATGTACAAAATTGCTCAGTTAGGGTTTATCTGAAGATGAACATTTTATTCAGAAAGCTCAGTAAGCCAAATTATAGATCTGCTGTCTGTGGAAGAAATGCAGCTTGGTCCCAAATGCCTGAGGCTGTAGGAGGCTGGGTTTTCAGGGTGAACCCACACACACTCGTGGAAAGTGGCTCATCCACTTTCATGGAGCTAGACTTTATTCAGCGTTGACCCCCTTTGAAGTCTCAACTGCCCAAAGAGGACTTCTGGTACAAGTTAAAAGCAAATTCTAGCTTTTTGGTCTGTTATAACTTAAACTCCAGGTTTGCTACCATTATTGGAAAATGGTGTAATCACACCACTGTTCTATATTTAAAAATTTTGTTCGCGTTCACCTGCAAAGAAAGCGCTCAAATCTGCCAAAAATGTTGCACTCCTGTCTGTTTATTCCAGTCATTTTAACACAAGTTTTTATTCTTCTGTGGGTTGGTAGCATCTTGAAGTTTATTTCAATGCACATATGTTCATGTTAACATAACTACCAGTTTCCAAAAGTAAGAACTGAAATGACAGAAAAACTGGATTTTTAATCAGTTCGAAAGTAGTTTTTATTTTTTACATTCACCCAAAGTAAAAATTGACACTAAAAATGGACCAATCAGAATTTTATGGCCAATTCCTGATCAGTCTTGCCAACTGATATTTCTCTAAGAATTATAATACAGAAGGAACTCATCTTTCACTCGTTTGGCAAATCCTTATTTATGTTGGTGTGCGCTTGTCCTTGAAGTTCTTTGTGCAAATAAAGTGGATTTTGTTTTATATGTCCCCTTTACAGGAACCCTTCTTGTTTCTGCCTGACCTGTCACCGATCAGTGTTAATCAAGGTTGATATTGTCTGATTCTCGTTGACAGATTATTTCTCCGTGTATGACTTGTTAAAGCTCCATAATTGAGTTGTCATTCCCAGTCGTATTATGAAGATCATGTTGCAACGGCAAAGTGTGTCAGTCTGCAGTGGTGGAAATGTCAAGATGATCTGCAGAGTTGTGTGGCGTTTGAATAAACTGGACCAAATCCGAGAAATACAGAAATCTGTGAGTGTTTTGTTTGAATTAAAGTCTCAGGGAAATTGGAATATTGTTGCATCACAGTGGTTTGTTTGGTCAGACTGCCTCATATGCCTATAACTAAAGTGGACTTTATGTGCATCTGATCTCCTCTGTTTCTTATGATCAGATCTTATTGCAGGATCAGTGCAGCTGGGTTGACATGTTTGATTTGTCATGCAGCTTGTTAAATTCCTTACACTCCAATTCACACACCCAGTTTCAAATAGTCACTTGCTTTCATTGGAGGCCTCTCTGACTGTATTTGTAATTGGACAGTGTCTCTTTAGGACGTAAGATTTTCCAAAACAGGTTTACGTTTCACTGTTCCTGCTGGTTGTAAGCTCTGATGGTCTGATCTTCACCCAAAGACAATTTTGGTCATTTCTTGGTGTCTCCGTGTGTGCTCTCTTTGGGTCAGTGTTCCTGCTTTTCTTTCAATCGTTTATTAGCTTGAAGAGATTAATGGATGTTATTTATTTATGGCCGCCGGGAGTTCATTGTTTTCATGGGAGCCAGCAAGTCTGCCAGAATTTGTGTTTCCCCTCAGTTGGAGAGAAAAAAACAGCGTGGTTATGCACACGTCGTCGCTGTTTTAGCAGCTTTGCTTTATTTGCTTTTAAATCCGCCACATTTCTTTTGATCAAAATCCATTATTTTCGCTTCAAATTGTGAATTTGTCTACATATTTTTAATATTTCAGGTGAATAAAAATTGTATTTCTGCAATTAGTACTTATCTGTTTTAAGCTTGTTCTTTTTTCTTCTTGCCTTGTTTTTTTATAAGTTAATATGATCTTTGATTTTAATAGAAAAATCGACATTTGGGTAAAAAAACCCTACAATATAGATGTTATTTATTTATGAGCATTAGAATTGTTGCTACTTTTCCTGGCAAAGTTCTGACTTGGGGTTTTTCTCACTGCTGAACTTAAAATATGACAAACGTATCGCTATGTTTTTGCTGAATATCACAAGCATTTAGTGAAATTAGAATATAGAGAGTCCATCCACCTACTTAAATGCAATATTTGGCACACAGAGAGTTGAAGCTCTGGACTTGACTTATTTACTGTCTGACAGTAAATGATACTAAACCTTTCCTGTTTTAATCATTTAGGATTGCCAACATTTTTGCTAAATGCTTCAGTTCAGAAGTTCCCAACTACTACCTTTATTTGGAAAGGCCAGTTGATTATTTCATGGCTTTGCAAGCTTTGCTCAACAATAACAGGTTATATTTTGCTCACTCTTACCTGAACTTAACTACTCACCTGGAATGACGCAGAGCAAAATGTTAAAATCTTTAGTCGAGAGGAAAATCGGCTAAAATGTAAACATAGCTCCCTTTATCATTCAACCATCAAATATTGGCTCAGTCTTATGAAGACATTCCCAAGCAACAACTTGATATGTGGTTTTATAATATTCAAATTTTTCAGTATTCATTTATTTATATATTTTATTTTTATTTTTTTGCTGAATAAATGAATGGGGGCAAATAACCAAAAACCATTTGGTTTAAAATTTTTGTGCATTACACATCTAATATTTATACAGCTGATTCAACATGCAAAATTACAGAGAAAGCAACTTTCCTTTCCAGATGCTTGATGGTTATATGTTAATCTCTTCCAACAATTAGGCAAATACAACATGTGCGGCCATCATGCTGTGCAGGAAGCAGACAGGGAACGAAATGTCTGTAAAAAAAAAAAACCTGAAAAACATAAAAGACGCTGGAAAGATGTTGGTGAAAGCTGGTAAAAGAGAATTTAGTACAGTGAACTCTGTACCAACTACATGGACTGAAAAGCTACTCTGCAAGGAAGAAGTCGTTTCTCCTAAAGTAGCATAAAGAGTCAGATCCCAGTTTAAAAATGGACTCTGAGGCTGTAGGTGCTTTAATCCTGACCTTTACACTAATTCTGTCAGGAGGAATAAAACTAGATTGTTTGACCCAACTCACACATTATTTTGGCATTTAGCAAGTAAACATACTGGTGGTATTTCCAGTTGGTTTTAAATGGTAAAAGTTTAGTCTGATTTAATGTTATTGTATGTAAACATTTGATTATCTGTTTGTATGCTACTTCTTCTGATTGTATTGCTTTAATTCAAAAGATTATTTTGTGTTTTTATGTTTTGTTAGCCTTTTTGGGTCCTTTCTGCAAAAATACACGTTTCCTAATGTGGTGCTTCTTTTAATTACCTATGAATTGTCCAAACAAAAGAACAAATTAAGCACTTAATTTTGGTTCTGGTTGACAAAATTTAAAAGAAAACTAATTTGAAATGGCTTCAAATAATTATTCAGCTGATTTAAATTGTATGCTTAGGTTGAAGTTTTAATTTTATTACGTTTACACCAACTTTATGAGCTTGACTTTTATTCGAAAGCATAAATATTATCCATTTACAGGATCTTGTTCAATTAAAAGCTTAAAGTTCTTGCAGTCGAGGAGCTGGGGCAAATGACTAAACCATACCTAACTTGAAATATTGGCTTCATTGATTGTTATGCCATTAAAAGAGTGGCTCATTAATTTCCCTTTTATTTGTCAAGTCTGTAATTCATCACTCTCATTTATTCCCTGTTGGGCTAATACATCTTGATTATTGGCAGATATTCATACTCTCGCCCAGCCATTCGGCATCAGATTAGCTGAATTAATCAATAAAATGTCGGCGTAAAATTAAACGTTATATTCAGTTGCTTGATAAAACACTCCAGCCTTTCTCTTTTAGTTTCCTCTCTTTATGTTTTGCTTATCTGATTTTCTGCGACGACTTGTTGGGGGAGGGTGGGGTTAATGATGAGAGCAAGTCCCCCGTCTTCCCCCAGTTGGCACGCCGCAGTCTGGAGTTTAAGGGCATTACTGTCACAGGACAGCCAGGCAGAATGCCAGGCAGAGAGGAGGCAAGCGCCAAACGAGCTCATCGCGGTCCCGTCCCGTCTAATCCCTCCACTCAAGAGCCGCACCGTGCCATTTCCAAATCCCCACATTCTTCAGGCCTTCCCTGGACATAAAATGCCTTTCTGCCCCCCCGTCTCTCTCCACTTCATTCCTCACCAACACCCCGTCTCGGTGTTCTCCTCCTGCACTCCTCTTCATCTTCTATAATCACAGCGTCATTTACGAGGCTCTCTCCTGTTATTGTTCGTGGCAGACAGCAGTAGTCCAATAATGTGCTCCCTTCCTGGACTCCTCTTTTGAGATTGGGCTGGTTGGGCGTCAAATTACTCTTAATTTCACTGAAAGCGTCCCGACACCAGTCCAGCTTTGTGTCTGTCCAGACGCCACCCTTCCTTCCCCTCTGAAGTGTCACCAGACTTTGAGCAGAGACTTGAAGGTTTTTGTTCAAGATGGAACCGGGGAAATGATGAATAGAGGGTCCCCGGATTAATCGCGTTGCCGGCTTCGCTTATGTTTATTTCATAAGATGGCTTAGTTTGCAAGGTGTTTCTGCTGCTGTAATTCATCACCGCAGAAGAAGCGGTATGAAACCACCTGGACAGGGCTCACACTAAAGGTCGTTTACATTATAGATCAGCGTAATTAAATATTTCCATTAGGGATGGACTAATGTACTGAGATCTATCGGTTCAGCCAATACAGAAAACAGGTGAATTGACTTAAAATGTTTATTTTTTAGACGTAGAGAGAAATGTACTGAATAACAAATTTAGTTGTACTGCACCAGTACAACTCACTTAAACAGCAGTTACTTCACAAGGTTGGCCAAGTATGTAAAAATGACACAACTTTAATCTCACTTTAGGAGCATAATCAGCAAATGGACAAAAGCAATTAACTGCAGAGTTCTTTCCTCCATGCTGGAGGTTCGAACTTGAAAATTTTTCAGAGTTTCATTCCTCTGGTAAGGCACGACCCCACCAGTGAGTGGGAGCATCCCACCACTCCAATCCCGGCCTCGGTTATCTCTGACTGGCCACTCCAGGCTGAAGGTCCTTTCCCTCTGTGTTTGGACCTTGAATTGCTAAGTTAAAGTAACTTAAAAACATGTTTCTGAAATTGAAAAAGTTATCTAGAATATTTCCATCAAACTTTTCTGATGCGATACTTCAAAATGTGGATGTCAAACGTTGATGGATATGACTTTGGCTTGTAAAGATGTTCAGCGAAGCTCTATGTGGCTTATTGGCTGAAATAAAGAAACTCATCAATTTTTGGCTTGATCATTTAAAACTATTCAGATTATTTCACATAACCTTTTGTGTTTTTCTTTTTTTTTATATAACTTTGCTTTGTTTTTGTTTTGGTTGCTTTCCAGTGCACGGTGCAGGTGAAGCTGGAGTTGGGCCACAGAGCTCAGCTGAAGAAGAAAGTGACCTCTGAAGGCTTCACCCACGACTGGATGGTTTTCGTCAGAGGCCCAGAGACTGGCGACATCCAGCACTTTGTAGAGAGGGTCGTCTTCCGCCTGCATGACAGCTTCCCCAAACCCAAGAGAGGTAAACGCTCAACATTATATTTAAATGCATGTCTAAACACATATACTTGCACTGTTTATTCAAAACTCCCTTTTTTGTGATGCATCTGATATTAAGTAGTTCTTTAAGCTTTGAAAGAGGTCAGATTATGGGCAGATGATTAAAATAATCTATATCATAGATATATGTGGAATAAAAAAGAATAATCCATCAAATCCAATTTTTATTTCTAAAACTTATGAATTGCTCTACAAATTTGACCATTTAATGAAATGCTTTCAAATTATTCCATCATATTAAGCTGAAGCAGACTGGTACAAAAACAAAAAAGCTAAATGTTTCATATGCGAGAACTTTTTGATTTGAATCCTCATTACAATTGTTTTCAATTTAGAATTTTTTTTAATTTGTTTATTTTAAATTGGAATTATTCTGAAAGGGACACTGAATTAGGGATGAACATTTATTGTATTTATTATTATTGGTATTTTTTTTACTATGATAATTATTTATTTTATTGTGAGAATGATAAACTGCATTACCACTTTTGCCATTTTGTCCTCTGTTGGTTTCATGAAAGTATTACATTAGACATTGATACTTTCGAAAACATCATTAAATGCATGTAAAGTGTACGGTTTAGTGAAAAAAATAAATCTAACTTCTGTAGAAGAAGCCTATTGTAAAAATGGATGCCATTTTGTTACGGGACTTCAACTGCAGCAGTCAGACTACAGATGAATTAAAAGATACAGTAAAGTAGTAGTAAATAGTTTATCGTCACTTGTATGACAGCAAATCCTGCAAAATACTGTGATTAAAATCATCCATGTGAATTGTGTATTGTGTGTGTGTCTTATGCAGTATGTAAGGAGCCTCCATACAAAGTGGAGGAATCGGGTTACGCAGGCTTCATCATGCCTATTGAGGTTTACTTCAAGAACAAGGTGGGAACATCTCAACACTACTTTCTAGTACAAGTATTTTATGGTGTGGAGAAAGAAAATGTGGGATGACAGAGTAGAAAAAAAGCTGTTTGTACATGCCCGAGTCATTGTTTCATTTCCTAAATGGTTCACTCGTCCTTATATATGTGCTATATCTGTATTTGAATTAGTTATCTGGTGTCATTTGAGTATAGGCATATGTTGAATGTGTTGGAACCCTGTTGTTCAAGAAGTGGTCGACTTCAGTCCTCAAAGGGTTGATTCAGGTTTTAGTTGTGGCCCTGCTCCAACACCTGATTCAAATCATCAAATTATCTTCTCAGCCTTTCTGCAAGTTCTTTTTGCAGTCATTCAAGTCTGTGTGTTCAAGCAAGAAAACGTCTAAACCAGCTTGACAGTCCAAACTGTCAAGTGAAAATGAAAACATTTATTTGATTCATTTAAATTTTACCCACCCAAAAATGATTGTTTTTAATCAATCAAATTGTTCATACAGCACGTCTATGCGACAAGTGCTTTAAATAAACACAAAAAAGTCATAAAAGTCACCAAAAATTAAAATCATTGACGATCAAAAACACAAAAATGCTTCAGTGATGCCTTATTAAAAAAGACCATTTTAAATTTTTTTTAAGGATTTGTTTTTTTCTTCATTGGCCAAATTTTTTATCTTTGTTGACTTTTGGTGAAGGACCAAACAAAATCATTTCAAGGGCCATAAATAGCCCATGCACCACACTTTGGACACCCTGGATGGCAGAAGCTCTCAAAGCCTGGAGTTTCCTGCACCTTGTGTTATTTATAAATTAAAACAAAATTAAAATTTATTTTGCAAATCCAAACGTGCTGCTTTCATTTCAAAAACCTTTTATTGTGAAGTTCCTGTAGTTCCTGTAATTGTGTCTTATATGTTTGTAGATATTTTATTTAAATAATTAGTTTTATAAACATACTAGTCACTAAGAGTCTGATTCTTAATTCTGAGGACAGTTATGAATTAAAGAGTTTTATCTGTGAGCTCACATAATTTCTCTGTAATTAATTTCGCAACTTGGTGATTAAATGGTTGCAGTTCAAAAGGAAGAGAATACATTTGTGCTATTAACATTAGTTTGGTGTTCACATAACATTAAGTGTACATAATTCTCATTTCCTTCCTGATTTCTTCAAATTTTCCTTCCAAGAAATGTCACTTATTATTCAGAAAAACTGTTTTATTACAAAAACAGTTTTTGTGTTCCTCTTTTCATTCAGCTTCTCTTGTGGCACATAAAACGAGTTTTAATCCTCTCTCTCTCTGGCAGGAGGAGCCAAAAAAAGTCATCTTCAACTATGACCTGTTTCTTAACTTGGAGGGAAACCCTCCTGTTAACCACCTGCGCTGTGAGAAACTCACCTTCAACAACCCCACCAAAGAATTCAGGAAAAAGCTCATCAAGGCAGGAGGGGTAAGTTTGTCACTGACAGCTTTACTCAACAATAGCTAAGAAGAGTTTAGGTCAAATGACAGTAAAAGTTAGATCACTTTTTTATTTTTTTTATTTCACGCATTAAATACAGTTCCTGGAGTTGTGTTAACCTTTGAAAACAAGAGCATTTTTGGCCTCTGTACACAGCTCCCAAAGTGTTAAATTATTCCGAATAAATGCTTAAAAGTGAGTTGTAGCACCTCTGTGTGAGAATAAATGATACAATTTGTATCATTTCTTCTCAAAATGAGAAGAAATTGCTGCTGGGTAAACTCTGACACGTTAAAGTCACTGCAAGAAAACAATAAAATCCTGCAAGAGTGGCGGCGTTTAATAAAATTCACCTGAGATATTGCCAACAACCCAACTGATCCACATGTAGAAAAGACACAATCGGTAAAAACATAAGCGTTGAACCAACTAAATTATATTAAATACATTGTTGAAAAGCCTTTCTTGTTGATGAGTCTTTCAAAATGTCTCCTGTATGGAGAAGCATTTAATTTATTCTTCCTTTTCCTCATATATTTCCACATGTTATTAATTGAATATAAATCAAGTGATCAAACTTGGAAATCCACACTTGTGTCTTCAGGATCTTATCCGTAAGATATATTTCTGTATTTGAACAACTTTTGGTGTATTGTCTTAATATTGTCAAATTAAAGTAATTGAAAGTATTTTTTTCTATATTTCACCAGAAAAAAAATCCTATTGAGGTCCAGATCTCATTTTCAAGAGGGACCTTAGCAGAAATCCGCAACACACAAGAGTGGCAATAAAAAATGTAAACAAAAAACCTGCAGGCCAATAGTCACCAAAAACATTTCTAATCAAATCCAGGCTCCGGCATGATCTGCTTAGAAATTGTTTCAATATTAGAAAAGATTAGCATTTGCGTTGACCACCAAACAAAACCAAAAAAAACAAAACCAAACATCTGTTCTCACATATTAATTTCAAAAAGCTTTGTGTTCATCAAAACTTTACTTCAAATGAGCTGAACCTCTTCATAATCCCAAAGGCTCCAAATTACTGCCTGCCGTTTTGAACTTGGGAGTCTACCGGTGGTTTTGAGTGTCGGCAGAGAAACACAGTGACTCATGTGTATTTAATTTCAGATACTGGTGGTCCCTGAGGGGGCTGAAGCTATGTCGAGGCCCAGTCCGGACTACCCAATGCTTCCCACCATCCCCCTCTCAGCCTTCTCAGACCCCAAAAAGACAAAGACCTCTCATGTATCAAAGGTAGGACAAAGGGAGAAACGTCATTTGGTTAAAGTCCCCTTAATCACGTGAGATCCGTCCACATTGTCTGCAGGTATAGATGAAATAAAAATGTATATTTTTCCTTTTTGAGAAAAAGCCTGACTCAAGTTAGTAATTGTTCCCAGCTGTTTTTGTGCATTCGTGTGCAGGATTACTCTCTTCTTATCTGCGGAGTGAGGGTGCACATTAGGAGGAAAACTGACTCCTTCGCATTTTTCAAAGATGAATCAGTTGCAGAGTAGACCTGACGAGGACTTTATTCTTTTGCAGGCGTATATTTCTATGATTTTTTTAAAGATATAACCAGAACCTAAAAAAATCTTCTTCATATTTCCTGGTTTTCAGTCTAGCCCTGCATGTTTTGGGTGTTTCCCCAGCAGCCACACACCTGTCTTAAATGAATGTGTGATTAACAAGCTTCTGCTGCATTTTTCAATGCTGAGGAGGTAATGCATTTATTTGAATTAGGTGTGCTGGAGCAGAGGCGCAGTAAAAACATGCTGCACAGTGAGCTCTAAGGGCCATAGTAGAGAACCGCTGGAAATGAATATTTTATTTTTTGATTTCTTAAATCCATATTTTTAGCTTTTAATTGAAGAGATTCTTGCTAAAACTTGACTTAAAGTATAATTAACGTATTTATCTGCTGCCTGCTGAGCATTTCTCCACTTTAAATACTTAATTTTAATTAAAGCTTACCTTGTTTATGTTAGCTTTGACACCTTAAGTAATTAACAAGGTAACTTCCATTTAATCTGCAAATTTCTATAAATTTTTTATGTTTAGGTGCTTTGAAGATCATAAGTATTTTTATTAAAATTAAAGCACAGATTTTATTGAATTTAATTTATCACTGCTCCAAGATTTTTGAGTTCAGAAAACAGATTGAAAAATATCTCTTCTGTCAAACTTTTAGCAACAGATTGGACTTTTGAAATCAGTTTTTAGGTCAAACTTTTCAACTGGTTTCTAGTGAGGGTCACTCAAAGCAAGCTGATGATAAATATTTCCAAACTAAGGAGGAGGAAGTTACAAAAAAGGAACTTGAGATGATAATTCATTGGTTTGCTGTTTTTGTTTGTTTGTTTGTTTGTTTGTTTGTTTTTTAACATGCATCATGCAAAATCCATTGTTGCCTTCAGTTGGTCCAAAACTCTGCAGTGAGAAACTTATCGGGAACCAACAGAAGAGCTCACATCTCCCCTGTTTTTATGTCTTAGCCCTGTTTTGGTTACTTCATGTAATTAATTAAATTTATCCGGTAATTTTAACATGTAAAATTAGCGCTAAATTTACCGCTAATTTTAAATTTAGCAATAAATTAAAAATTCTGACTAAATTTCTGTTACTGAGCTGTAGAGCTGAAACAGATTAATTTACATGGTTATTAAATAATTTCGTAATCGATGAATCGCCACCTGAAGTTTTTTTTTGAATGAACACAAAAAAAAGACGTTTGCTGAAAGAACATCACATTTAGAGCAGTAATTAACCACAACTGTATATTAATATGTACATTTTGAATTCAAGATAATAAAATCTTCTCAGAATTGAAGTGTTTTAGCTATATGAAAGGAATAATACATTATTGGCTTTTAGGCAGTAAGATGTTTTTTTTTTCTTATGAGAAGAAGAAATTTCCATCTTATTGTACAAAATAATGTTGAAAATTTTGCAGAATTTGCCACTTAAAATTTTTTTGTCAGAATAATCAATTATTAAAATAATTGTTAGCTTCAGCCCCGATGAGTCAATCAGAACAGATTGAGGGATTCACATGTTAGGAGTATTAATGTTGCTGCAGATTCAACCTTTGATACAAATAATGAAGCGTTAACTACAGCAGTGCTGCGTTACATTTTAAGTAATAAAATGTTTTGCGTTTTTGTGTATTTTTGATCTTGTACAAAGTGGTTGAGTAAAAAATCTGCAGAATGGGCCAATTACATTTTTTTCAGCTGATCAGAATAATTGGTAGAATACGCATTTTCTTAAGTAATCTGCATCTGCAAACTTTGAGTTAATGGCCATCAGAATGATGCTATTTCAAAATTGACTGACTTGAATATATTCAAGTTTGTGTAGCTTCATGAGCAAACATTTAAGCGTGTAAAATAAACCCTAGATTTAATGCATGTAGAAATTTAATTCTAAAAACGTAGCATTTATGAGCCTGAACTTGCATAATTTATATTGTAGAGCTGATGAAAGTCCTGCTGTTTTCTTTCCTCAGGAACCAAGCAAAGAAGGAAGTGGTGGCAGCAGCAAAGGACCCAAACCACACAAACTGACCAAGGAGCACCGTGAACGATCGCGGAAAGACTCTGAGAGCAAAGGGTCGTCCAAAGGCGACGATCGAGATGGAAGCAGCAAAAGTGGTCGCGACCCTTCCTCGTCCTCCTCTTCGAAAAAGCCGTCAGAGATCAAAGTGAAGGACGAAGTGAAAGTCCAGCCTAAAGCGGCCTTCAAGGAGCCAAAGCTCACCCTGAAGGAGTCGAAGATGGACGGCATGTCCCCTAAAGGAGGGGGGGCAGGAAGTGGCGGGGGAGGCGGAGGAGGAGCGGTGGAGGTCAAAGCTCCGGGGAAACGCCCTTCCACCGTGGAGTCCCCCAAACCCAGCGTGAAGAAGCAGAAGAAGGGCAGCTCCGACGGGCTGAAGGGACCGACGGGCGGCTTGTTCACCGGGACGTCGCCGCGCGTCTCGTCGTCCTCGGCCGTCACCCAGTCCTATGGCGAGAAGAAGCCTTCCAAGGAGAAAGGCCGCTGGCCGCCCAAAAACAAAAATGATGCCCAGGAGTTGAAGGAGCTCAAGAAACTTCCAGAGTCGGAGGAGTCCAATTCAGAGGACGAAGCGTCGTCGAAGTCAGAGGTAGGAGGATTTTTAGGTTAAAAACGACGGCGAAGGGTTAAAACCTGCTGCTACAAACACAAACCAGGATGCATTTGTGACTTTAGAGCTGCTGTAAATGTTTAATTTATCATTTTCTTTAGTAATAATGATTTTGTCATTTTTAGTTTTTCCTACATGCAAGAGAAGAGATGGATGCATTTTTTTTAACTCTTACAATTGGTTGTTTTGTATATATCCAGAAATTTATTTTGAAAATATGATTTTTTTTCTAGTTGTTGCATTGGAAAAGTAATCTTAAAAAAATAATTTGGGAAAAAATTTACAAGTAAAACCAGAATGACCTAATCTGTAATTAACTGAAGAATAACTGGATACGTTTTCATTTGTCTGTAGAATTAGAACTTTTTTTTTTTGCCATTTTTGTGGTAATCAACGCAAGACATAAAGTATTCATTTGATGTTACTCATATGTCCCATTTATTTGTTCATATCATTATTTATTTATTTATTTAACCTCTTGTAATTTTTAAATTTCTGTTTTTCCAGCAATCAGCTGCTTCGAGTCCTTCCAACTCTACTTCCAGTTCTGACTCCAGTTCAGATTCGGACTTTGAGCCTGGACAAAAACCAGGACAAGGTGAGTTTGATGATTTAATAATTAGTTTTGTTTCTACTGATTAACCTTTTAATTGACCCTGGATTTTCAGTTGTCATCACTTCAAGTCTTTAGGGAACCCTTAACACCTATGAATTTTATATAAATTGTTTTAATCCCAACTCCAGACAGTGGCATAGTTATAGCTTCACCTGGTTCAAATTTCTTAAAACATTTTTAAATCTCCTATAAATGTTTGTTTAATCATTAGTTTGTCTGAAAAATAAACAACACATCAGCTCTTGATTTTAAGACGAGCAGAAAGAGCCAAGCTTTTCAGATGATGTTAAAATTATTATTTCAGCTGAAATTATCAAGCATTCGCTACAGGAAGGCTGTTGTTACATTTTAGGAAATAAAATGCTCTTTATTATTTTAAAAAGTGTATTTCTAATAGTTAAATGAAATATCTCCAAAATGTGCCAATTTATTTTATTCAATTAATCAATTAGTCATCAGAATAACTCATTAATTGGTTACTTAATCAATCCGGACATTTGAAAATTATAACTAGGTATAGTTTGTCTCTCCTCTTGTGGTGAACTTTATATTGCTCCTGTTTTAAACAAAGTAAATCGCCCAAAAATTCTAAAATTAATAGTTTCAGCCACAACTGCATTCCATTTGAGAGACATTAATGGTTATGGTTTGGTAAATTGTTGGATTAAAACGTTTTAATCTGTTTAGATGATAAAATTGACGTTAATTATTTCCGTTCTCGTCTCAGGCCCGCTCAGATCCATGGTGGAAGAGATCCAGTCAGAAGAGTCGGATGATGACGACAGCAGCTCAGAAGAAGAGACGCCTGTCAAAACAAACCCCCCCAACCGCGACTCTCGGTCAGTTTGAACCAAATCACAAAGTTTTAAGCTAGAATCTGTAATTTATGCATGCAGATTACGTTTTATTCCCAGCATTTCAGGCTTTTTTTTTTTTTTTTTTTTAAGCCATCTAGAGAATGTAGTTCAGGCAAACTGATTCACTTGACTGGCTGCTAAAAGTCTCTACGCATCATCAGATTTCACATTTACAAGTGCCAGACAGTTCCTTTAGTCTGTTTGAATGACCTCTGACCTCGACCTGTGCCTCCGACAGACTCAGCCTGGACAGTGAGAGTGACAGCAGCGACGAATCGCACCGCCCCAGTCGAGACCCCGCCCCACCCCCACAGAAACACGGCTCGTCCAACAACAAAGTGAGTCACCCACCAAGAGTTTTATTGTGTTTTTAATCAGCGCGCTGACGGGGATTTCAGTCGTCTGCTGGAGCCATGTCTTGATTCTGGTGCTGCTCAAACATTAAACCACAGTGAAACACAAATTAAAGAATTGTAGAAATGACTTTTAAGTTTTGAAGATTTGCATTTAGAAAAACACGTTGAGAACTGGAGGCAAACAGTCATTTAATAAACGGCGTTTGATAAGCGGATATGACCCAGCTCGTGCAAAACCACAACGAGCTGATGCAACATTTCAAAGAGCTGAAGTTCAAGTTCCTCAGAATAATAAGAGACAAAGACAAGATCTTATAAACTTTGTATTTCATGGATGCTTAAAGCAGCTTTACAAGCTCTTAGGTGACAGAGTGTACTTACAGCTTGTTGCAATAAGCAATTAATTAGTCGCATAATAAATTAAAACAAGCTCAATCATTTAGATTTGCATGATTGGTAGAAAGAGAGAGAAAGAAAAGCAGACTGGATGACAAAAAGCTGAAGATTAGCTCTTTATTTTGAAGGGCAGCTTTGTTTACAAATTCTGTGCAATCCATTTTATTTTTTTGTTTTGTTTATTTGGGAAGTTTAAAATGTCTTTCAGTTTAAGTGTTAAACGTTCATTAGAAATGAGAGATTATTGATCTTTGAGAGGGAGTACTTACATTATCATATTACTTGAATATGGTCTCAAAATGTAAAGAATAACTTCTGGGACAATTTATCTTTTCTGCCACAGGTTGTCCGAAAAAGTCCAGATTCCTCTTTTCGCTCGGAGAAGGTGATGAAGAAGGGATACGACAAGGTAGGAAGGGTAAATCAAACTTTTTATGTCTAAACTTAAAAATAAAATTGCTACAATACAGTTTTATTAAGAAACTAAACAAATCTTTGACTATTTTACCTTTTTAACACACTTTTGTTTGTAGGTATGAGAATCAAAACACCGAAAGTTGTTCAATAAATCAATCAATTTGTCAAGTTACTATGATTTCTGACTCTGAACATGATCAATTTTATTGTTGTAATCCCGGGGTGCCCTAGTAAACAGAGATGATGCAGAATAAAAACCATTTATTAAATTTGTCTGAATAAAAAAATACTTTTGTTCCTGGGTATCAATTAAAAACATTTTCTAGACCAGGTGTCTGCAACTTTTACAATCCAAAGAGCCATTTTCAGCCCCAGTCCATAGAAATTATTCAGAGCCACAAATAGAATGACTTTTTTTAAAAAGATAAATATGTACTGTAGGGATTTTGTTGTAATTTTTAGAGTCAAAGCTGCATTTTGATATTTGTGTAAAAAATTCAGATCTAGAAATCTACCTTTTGTTGTGGAAATTTAATGCAATTATTCCACAACAAATGAGGATTTAATACCAAGAATAATTTGCATTTATTGCTGTATCTATGTATATTTAGAATCTTTGAACCTCTAGTTACAGACTCCTATTCTAGACCAACAAAATAAAAAATATTCAACCCAAAACTTATCAGTTTGTTTTATTAAAGGAAACATCTGACACCTGTTCAGCTCTACAGTCATTCTTTTCTATGTTTTATTTAAATTATTACATGATGATTTGGCAGAAAAAAAAGAAAAGAGTTCACAATATTTTTTTGTATCTATTTAGCATTTCTATTGAATAACTAGTTTCAATTTTCTGTTTCGGGTCAAAAGTTCGGACTCCACTGGTTCAAGCTTAGAGAAAAAAGAAAAGAAAAAATCGTCAAAGAATCAATCAATCGATAACTAAGTTGTTCCTGTGAACTTTCTGTTTTCTGACGTCTTGTTTCCCTGGCGAATGCTGCAGGCCTACACAGAGGAGCTGGTGGACCTCCACCGCAGACTGATGGCATTAAGGGAGCGAAACGTCCTGCAGCAGGTGAGCGATCCGACCTTTCTCTGCCACATTTGCGACTGTTGTGGTTGAACCTGGGGTACTGAAGAGCAGAAATGCATTTTAAAGCCACATTCTAATGTATTTTATTGAAGTTTCATGTCATTGATCAATAGAAAGAGGAGGATTATTAAGAATATGTTCCACTTTATTCTGTTACTCTGTAAAGAAAATCAATTTTAAGTTACATTAGTAAATTGCGGTTAATTAAGGGATAGTTTTACTAAGTTTTCTTGTTTCTACACCTGAGTGCATCTAAATCTGCTTTTCTTTGCTGTATTTAAAACCTGGTTAAACACAGGAAGCGTTTTAAATGAAGACTTTATTCCTGAGAAGAGATTAATACATAGACATGTATGAATGGTCTATAAAATGGTACAAACATGACACTGCTCGTTTTGAAAACCTCAAAGGACTTGAAGCTCTAATTTTATCAAGAGGATTTTATTTTAGGGGCGATGAATACAAACGTATGGATCACTTTTCTAGTGTCTATTCGAGACGCATTGATCCAATGCTTTGTGCTCTGAGTGACATCTTGGTTTATTTATCTTACATTATTTTAATTTCTAATTGCACTTTAAACCATTTGAAATAATATTTGTTGCACTTTATTTTTTATATCTGACCTGTTGTTTTTCTCAGTTTGTTTCTTTGTTGTTGAGTTTATACACGTTTGACCAAACTTGTGCAGCCATTTGTGTGTTTAATTGTTTTACTGGTGGAGAGTTATCAAAAAATTTGTAATTTGTTATATTTATGTCTGTTGATTAAAATAAAAAAAAAAAAGAAATTTGACAATTTAGCACCATTTTTTTGTATTGAATATTAAATCTCAGACATTGGTATTGGTATCAGAAGTGAAAAAAGTGGATCGGTGCATCTCGAGTTTCTATTGTTAGAGAAAAATAATACATTAAACATTTTTTTTCCATATGACAGTTATTAATTTTCCTATGTGATCTGTAGTATGAAATCCCAATAAAATACCTTTTTGGGGCTAAAACATAAAGATATGTGAAAATGTGTGGACACTTCCTGCTTCATGTCCACCTTTCTGACTGAAACTTTAATAGTTTCTGTTTTCGTCCTGCAGATTGTCAACCTGATCGAGGAGACCGGCCACTTTAACGTGACAAACACCACCTTTGACTTTGACCTCTTTTCATTGGACGAGTCCACCGTCCGCAAACTACAGAGCTACCTGGAGGCGACGGCCACGTGACAGGAAGCGGCGGGGGCCGGCGTGTGGATGTCAGCGGCAGAGGTAGCCTCGCCATCATGCCTGCTCTTTGCGGAAGAGACGAGCAGAAACGTCTGCCGCGGCCTTTTCACAAGCCTGACTGAAGCATCGAACAACCACACCATGAAACAGAAACACACAAACAGTCGCAAGCACACAACACCACCTTCACGTGACGCTGGGGAGGAAACAGGAGGAGGAGGAGGAGGTGGTGTGTGAGGAAACGCTGGAGCATCTGACCTCCGTCTGGTCAGGGTTTTCACTACACACTCTTCGAATCTGTGCTGAGCTGAGGAATTCGCCCAACAAACCCCCACCCCGTCCCTCCCTCCTGCACTTAAACCGCTCCCGCCTTTGCAAACCTAATACTTCCCCTCCTCCTCCTCTTCCTCCTCTCCTCCCCCACATGCACACTCCTGTCTGAGCAGAACACTCCGGCCCCTGCGTTGTCAGCTGGAGCTCATTTTTCTTCCAACACACTCCTGAGTTGCGTGTGAACGCCGTCCATGAGTCTGCGCGCGACTCGTTCTGCTGAGGTTTAAGAGGACATGTTGTCTTTGTGGTCACCGACTTCTTTGTTTATGAAACTTGAGCACAAACAGCCGGTTGCATTTCTACCACCAGTCACTCGCCAACAAGCACACTTTGCCCTGCTAACCCCCCTGTTTGGCATTATTAGTTTATAAGCACTGAAAATGCTTTTAACACACTTTAGTTTTCTTGTAAACGACAGAAAAAGCTTCCCGACATTTTTTATTTTATTTTTAAAAGTAAAAACATTGATTTTCTGTTATTTTCTTTCATCTGTAAAGTGTTTGTTAGAGGTAATTGATGGTTGTCTTCCAGAACTTTTTTTAATCACTACAGAAAAGATTAATAGTTGCCTCAATGTTGTTGCTTCATTATAATTGGATACAAATTACACTGAAAGTAGCACACTTTTGTTTTTAATTTAAAAAATGTTAACTTTTGTCATTAAATTGCAAAATTAAGGTTACTTTCAGTTAAGATTAAGAAAAGAGAGGCTTTCCGGTTAAGATTGAATTTAAGTTGAATGACAAAGCAACAAAGAATAATTATATATTTTGAGTTTATATTGAATATATTTGCATTTTAGTTACAATCAGACTTGCATTCAAGCTTTCAAGTGCTCTATCCTTTTGTTGGATAGCCTGAGACGTTTTCCACTGGGTACTGAAACATTTTTTTCAAGAAAAATGTTACAAGCTTAAATTACATATTTATTATTTATGTAAAAAAAAAGGCACCTGAACTGAAGGGATGAACATGTTTAAAATCAGCAAGGTTTTCTGATTGGCAGCTCAAGCCATGAAACATCTGAATTTATTTACTATTAAATTACATCAGAGTTTACAACAGCCACTTTTCATGAATTGCATAAAAATCAGGGAAAATGCTTTGATGCCTAAATGTTAATCTTTTTTAATCCCTTTTATCTGTTGAATTAAAACAGAAACATCTTTATTCTTCTCTCTCTGTGAAGTCCGTAAAAACTGTAAGCATCCTCTCACAGAAAATTAGAGTCAACCGGCAAAATGCTAGCATCTTTACCAAACAAGCAACTTGGCTAAAAGATTCATTCTTACGGTACGAAATAGATCAGAATAGGATGATTTTTCTTTCTGTGATCAAAAGCTAAAATGTTTTGCCTTTAAAACTAAGGAAAAAATAAAACGGTGATCGTTCAAGTTTGGGAGAAAACTTGCTAAAAACCAATTTAAGAGTAAAAGTTTTGCACAGTGCTCTGTGTCATTATTGCCTTTTTTTTGTTTTCAGTGCTTGTAAACACAGTAAGGAGGGGTTGTGGTGAAGTGATGCATATTTTCTCCTGTGTGTGTCCCGCTCCGGTTTTCAGCTGTCTGTACGTTCGAAAACACGTGTTCTGTTGGCTTCCTGTGCTTTCCCACTGAAAGCTGAGCCTTGACCTCCAGCAGACCCCTTAACGCCCCCCTCCACCCACTGCTGCATCCCCTCTGCTCTGCGTGAATGAAAGGGCTCCAAAGCTCCTGGCCACAGCAGTGGAGGATCGCTCCTGAATTTGCCTTCTAGGTGGGGTGGAAAAAAGAAACAAACACAGTAGCCATACTTCCCAAAAAACAAAGGGGAGAAAAAGGGGGGGGAGGGGCACGCTTTTTTACATTTTATTTTTCTACAAGTGCATTTTGTGTATTTATTCCCAAGACAACCTGTGGGCTCTGAATGTATATTGCTTTTACTTTTTTACGGCTTGCAACAGCCCCACTCCAGTGCCTTTTCCTGCAGCGCGCAGCACTAAGCGGGGAGTGTGCGCTCTGCTAGCGTCGCTCACACAGATCGAAGACCCCACCCTCCCCCTCCTACTATAAGCCCCTCCTGGGGGGAGCAAGTGTTAATTGGGATGCCTGAACATCCAGTATTGTCTTAATGGTTCCCATCCCTGCTGTGGTCCTTTTTTCATTTTTTGTTAAATCAAGAATATCTCCGTTAGTCCAACATAATTGATAGTTTTTGTGGATGGTGGTCATTTTTTTCTGTTCTAAGGTTAGGGTTTGTTTAAAAAAAAAAAAAAAAAAAGGAAAAAAAAACATCAAAATACTGTGGTAGTTTCTCACTTTAATTAGCTCGAGCTTTTTTTGTTCTGCGTTGTGTGTCTTTGTGAGTGTTTGTCGTCGTCGATGAAAAGGGTCTGACCCTCTTCGGCCGTTTGATGGTCGTACGGCGTCGCGCTCGATCGCAGGACGCCAGGCTCTTAAACGGCTACAATAACGAGCGCGAAGGCAGATGGAAAAGAAACGCTCCTCTTCCCCCCCGTGGCGTCCATTAATGGCGGAAACGTCTCACTGAGGCCTGAGTCGAGACGGCAGCTCGATTGATCGGGTGGTCTAGAGAAACTGGCTCACTAATTACATCGGTTAGATCGTCACTGTAAAAGTTTACACTCCTGAAACATTTTCTCATGTGAAGTCGACCAAATTCACTTCATTCTGTTTGGATGTCATACACATAAGATGGCGAGGAAAATATCTACACGACTTCTTCCGATTGGGTCGACCCAAGGTTTAAAAATGATTCTTTTTTTATATCAGATTTGAGTTTAATCAGTTTTTCTTTTCTAAAAATAAAATTAGAGGGTAAATATTTTCAAAAAGTGGCCAAAGCTACAATAAATTTAGCTTAATTCATAATTTGAACAGAATAAAAAAAGCAGTTTTACCAGAATATCTTAATTATGATTTTCGAGAGGAAAAAAGGTGATGTTACATGAACTGCTCAAAGATTAGTTTTGAAGCATTTTTTAGTTCAGTTTTGGTTTATAGATGCTTGTAATTCAGTGTAGGAATGGTTTTGGTTTTGTACTTAAAAGCCTGAGTGCTCATTTAATACATTACTGTAAACGGCTATAAAAGCAAACTTTAGAGGGTTTTCCTCTCTTGAATCTGTACGTTATTTTTTTAATTTAACCTGTTTGTTTAGCAGATTATTTTCCCTCAGATAAGTTGTTTGTTACAGTTTCTCCTCCATCAGTTTCAGTGAGACCAGAGATCATTGTCTTGATCCAGGCCCTCGGTGTGTTTGGAACACACACGCGCACACAGTCACACACACACACACACACACACACCGGCCCACTGTGGGACAGTAGATGAGTGGGAGGTCGTCTCCCTCGTCTGCCCACTGTGTTTTTATTCTGACGCTTCGATAGCTTTAATTCTTCCTCTCTCTTCGTTTCTCTTCCCTGCCTGACTCCATTTTTAAAATCAGAATAAAAACAAACCGATCCGCGCGGCCTTACTCACCCTGCCAGTTGCCTCCTTCCTCTCTCTTCCTCTTTCTCTCTCCCCTGCTCGCCCGCCCGCCCGCCCCTCCCTCTCTCACCCGCCGCACCTCCATTTCCTCGAGGTGCGCCTCCCTCCGTCAACTGAACTCCCGGCCACGATCGCTGAGAACGAACTCTGAAGCTGACTTAGAAAAGAATCGATGAACAACTTTCCTCTTTTTCTGTGCACCAACTTGAGAACTTCTAGGTCCTAGTTCATGAACTCTGACCCCTGACCAGGCACTCATTCAGGGGGGTCACGATGGGAAACTCTTTCCCCCCAGTTTTATTTATGGACCTCTGCACTTTTGGCTGTGATGACTTCAGTACTTAAGTAGTTACCGAAACTGTATTTTTAAGGATTTTATACAATATTTACATGCAATACAATATAAATTGATTCGTTTTTCCTTTGCCAATCTTGTTGTTTTTATTTAATTTTGTTTATTTTGGCATATGATGTCATTATTTACAAACAGACATGGCCGTCGAGTCCATTTCAGGCACGTTGTTATCCCGATGTGATTTTTGTGTTTTAATGAATCTGAACACCAAGAAGCAAGAGGAAAAATAGGCTCGCCTGTTTTTGTTTATTTTTTTATTTCTAATACCATCTGCGCCTGGATGAGATTCTTAAATGATGAAAATACACTGGTTTTACGGTATAAAAGCAGAAATCTGAACAGATGTTGAAATTGCTTTCATTTCAAACAATAAAAGCAAAAATAATTGCAGCTGCTACTAAAATATTTTCTAACATTTTGAGCGATGCACTGCTTGGCCGGTCAGATATCGGAATCTGGTAATTTTCTATCGATCGGTTTTGATCAGTGAGTCAAATATTTTTTGAAAAATCAATCTTTAGTTTCCTTTTATCTGTAAAACTAAGAGCTGCCATTATTTTTCTATAGTTTCACTAACAAACCGCTTTGATCTTGGTGCAAGTTAATCTGATAATTTAGGGACTTGTGCTTTCATTTAGAAATGGGGACATTCTCCTAATTTTTTCTGTTGGATTTAGCACTATTACCTCAGTCAATAAACCTTTACTTTTATTTGTTTTTTTGGTCAAAATTTTCCTTGACAAATCAGAATTGGAGAAATCAGAGAATCTCTAGCAAAAGCCTGATCGGTGCGTTGGATTGTAATACGTAGACTTAATCCTAATTTAGTAGTGGTTGTGATTTTTGCGCAGAATATTCTAACTTTTTGACATTATTTAGATAAACACAGTTAGAATAAAGTCGTGGTAGTTGTGTATTTAGGTTGACTAGCTGTAAATTAAAACAGTATTGATGCATCGATCAGGATTTACCGATTTCTGTCTTTGTTTCTGGTTAAAGTCACGCTGCGCCAGACTTTCAATGACTTCAGATTCCTACAAAACTAAAAAGGAAAAAGATCAAATGTGAAAGTAAACATGTCCTAATTTAAATTTAAAATAGGGCTGGACGATGTGACTTAAAAATATCACTTTTTTTAAATCAAAATTAAATTTCTAATTTTAATCTTTTTTTCTTTCTTTCTTCCTGTTAAACAATATATACAAATGACCGAAATTGATGCTTGTATTTTAATTATTTATTCTGTGAATTGACCTCAAAGTAAAAATAGATGTTCGGTGTGCTGAACTAAAGGAAACCCCCCAAAAATCTACATTTTCCAAAAGTTATTCAAAACAGAAAACTTGATTAATTTGTAAAATGAATTTATCAAAGCAGCAAAAATAAAAAAATGTTTTTAAAAGCTTTAGAAATGGATTAAAATCCTTATTGGCATTTCAAAGCTTTACTTAAAAAAACAAAAACATTAAGATTGAGAAATGTTGAGTCCAATGGAAAACATTCTTAAATGATGATCTCTTAATTTTGAATTATTTAAAAGGGAGTAAAAGTTTAAAAATTAAGTTTTCCACGTTTGACCCACTGATGGAGCCGATCGAGGGAAAATCTGCTGCCAGACTGTTTGGAAAGTTTCTACATCATGAACGTCGGCAAGCTGGAAAACTTAAGAAAGCTAAATTAGAAGGTAGGAGTTTCAGCCAGCTGTCCTGCAGTCTGCAGCAATAAGTAGGGGCGGGATGGCTTCAGATTTCAGATTAATCCCAGATTGGAAAAAGAAATTCTCTGAAAAACAAATATTTTCAAAAAAGTTTATAATTTTACTAAATTATGAGAATAAAGAGACAATTTTGACAGAACGTCTTATAATTGATAGAAAAAGGTCATTTTAATGAGAAAAATGTTTTAGATTAACACGACCAACTCAATCCGATCACTTATTTTTCTTCTAGATTCACTCCTGTCACTGATAATTTGATGCTGAAGTGTTAAAATATGAATTATTTTCTTTAAACCAAAAACAAATTTTTGGTGTAGTTCTCCATTAATTACTTGTTAATTCTTCTAATATTACGACTTTATTCTCATAATTAAAGCAAAACGTAGACCGTCCCTAAAATTCAAAGTCCAACGAAGTGGAAGCTGTAAAACATGAAGGACTTTGATCTGTGGAAACTCAAGGATTAGTTTGGTGGGAAAAAGACAGACTTGATCTTTAAAATCCAGGCTTAGGCATGACTGCTAAAATATAATCTGTGCTTTTTGCTGCTGGAAATGGAACATCCAAACAGAAAAATCTGCCTTTGATGGCCTGGAATTTTTTTTTTTTTTATGTTTTAAAGCTGTAAGTTTTTAAAATCTTGATCCCAGTCAGCGACACATTCCCAGTACAAATAACACTTTCATTCCTGGACTTGATTGAGAAAACCTGACTTCCTGCATCATATCTAGTTTTCAGTTCCAAACACGGACGTCCGTTCTTTATTGTTAATGTTTTTATGGAACAAATCCATCCCAGATGAGCTGGAAAGTGAAGGCAGCTGCTGCCTCTGCTCAGATTCAGTGCATTTTGTGCCTTGATAACTTTTAAAACAACCAGGAAATATTTCAGTTCCGCTCCTCCTCCAGTGAGCTGAGGCTCATGGGTAATGTAGTGAAGTGGGACTGATGAAAGAAAGCAGTGGGAAAGCCTTTGCGCTGTAACTGAGGCAGCTCGGACTATATTATGTGTGTGTTGTGCCGCTGCAGCGGAGGGTTATCTGCTGTGTGGAGGGGAGATGCGGGGCGGGAGGGCGCCATGTGCGGACCGGCTGTTTCCTGTGTCGTTTGTGTCATAATGTGTCTGTGACTGAGGGGACAGGGTTGCTTGTATTTATAAGGGTTTGATTTGTTTTCTAACTGGGGGTTGAAAAAAAAAAAAAAGAACGTTCCGCGTTTGTGTTCAAAGCGACGACTAGAAGAACTAATGACGAACTGAACGGCAAAAAGAACAATTTGGTATTTTTGAAACGAAGCAAAACTTGGCATTGCGATGCCACCATGTGGCCATATGATGCAAGTTCACGACGAGGATGAAACCTTTATTTTAATGTTATTTTTTATTATTATTATTTTGAAATTGTATTATTAATAAAGTCATTAAGAACTGAAACACTGCGCTCTGAGTGAAGTCTTTGACCGGCGTGTGACCCCGGGGTCACCCCGGGTTCATGGGAAGTTCATGTTGTGGTCAGCGCAGACCGTTTGGGGTTAAAAGGTAACGGGGCATGCTTTTTGGTAAAAACTGATCAATAAACCTGCTTTCAGACTCAAACAACAGGACTTATTTGCAATTCACAAGTGGAAGAGAATACTGTGAAAGGACAAAGTCAAATGTCTTTTTTTTCCTTTTGCTCGCCAACAAAGGCAAACGTCACCTTTTCCACATTTTATGCTACAATCCTTATTCTAAATGGCATAGAGGTAATATGTTTCCTCGAAATCCTGCACTGCAAAGTTGAGTTTTGTGAATTTATTAAAAATGCAAAAGATAAAGCGCAAAAATGTATGTTTCTTCAACTAAAACTGAGTTTACTTGTGTTAAATTCAGTAGATTTCACTTAATTTGGAAAGACACAGACCCAGGGCTGAAATTATGAATTGATTATTAAAATCAACTAATTTATACATTGATCAATCATTAACTGGACTATAGGGACTCAAAAAAAGAACAGTTGCTGAAAGAACTGCATATTTATAGCAGGAAATAAGCCAAAACTGTTAAATATCTACATTTTGCATTTAAAATAAATAAAATTCCTGTTTTATAAACCTGTTCTACCCAAAACACCTGAAGCAGCAGTTTTTAGCTTCACCTGGTCTGATACTGTAAAATAAATAAATAAAAATAATAAGCATATTGAGTATTTTTGTAGCTGCAGGTGCATCCTTAGGCCAATAAAATATTTTTCTTCTTTAAAAATGGGAGTATGTTTGCATCTTTTAATGTATAGAAAAGAAAAATAACTAGATGCCTTCCTTGCAGTGTAAATTGCTTTGGAGTCCTCTGATTTGATAATTACAGTTCAAATGGAGTCTATTTCCAAATTGGGATGGACAGAAAAGGTCAGTGGAGACATGACACAAAACTCTTAGTGGTAAATAAAATGTGTTTTACAAAGAACTACAAATGCACACCGCACTTTTCAGATTTTATATTTGTAAAAACTACGGCGAACCTGAATTACTTTTTTTTGTCCATCACAAAATCCCCAAAGACATGGAAAAAACGCTGTAAATCAAATTACTTTTAGAGAAAATCTAAATTTAATTTCCATCCAGATTCTTTGGAAATGCTGCAGACCAAACTTTCATTCCCTGTTATTTCAAAAATTATTAAATAATTCAGCTTTAAATTATAAACATGAACTCCTTCATGGTTTCCTGGATGATTTCTTAAAATATTTATCCACTGAAAGCCACAAGAAACAAACTCCTCACATGATTGCAATCATATTTTTATTCCAGAACAGATGAGAGAAATCTTCACATTTGTGTCATGATGAATGGAAACTTCTTCACTTTATCTCAGCAGCATATTTCCTGATAAACTCGCCTCTCAGGTTCAGGTAGATTCAGTTTCTGTCTGGGCTCTAGAAACATCTCTGAACCTTGTTGCTTGTTTAGATCTGCTTGTTCTTTAGATGAATGATGCAGGAACTGAAAACCCACTTAACCCGACGCTGAATTACCGTCATTTCCTCCATTCAGCTGTTTAAATAACTCTTATTTACAGTCAGCTTTAGCTGCGTTAAAAGAACCAGAACCAGTTATCACTTCCTCTACCGCCCTCTGAATGCTTCACACCTAAAGGATCATAATATACAAACAACCGCATGAATACATCAGCTGTACTAAGTGCAATTAGGTTTTGTTTTAAGTGTATATAAAATTCAAAATTTAGTCTTCAAGAAGGGAAAACTCCTTTTTCCTTCGTTCAGACGCATCAGAACGAGGCGTTTCCAGCTGATGCACCAACTTAACATTTCACCGTATGCGTGGATGAAACGAACCGTTTCAACCAGGAAGTGTAAATAAAACAAAAGATAGCAAATATTTTTTACAATATTTCACACAATAAACAAGTGAGCATAAAACAAACAAACAGGATTTAAAAAAAGCAACAGATATGGCTTCATGTTTTGGATTTAAGATAGCTTCACTGCATAAACACAATATATTACCAAGTATTTTTAGTCTAGTTTCTAATGCAAGTATCTTAAAAATAACCTTTTAACAAGATAAAAAAAGTTTTGTTTTAAATCAATTTATTAATGTTCATTTTAAAAGTTCTGGTTTCTCTGGCAGATTATTTTACATACAACTTAGGAAAAATGTTTTGTCAGTCTGGTACCTTTTCTTTTTTTATTAATGAATTATTTACTTGCTGAAAAGCTACTTGTCTGTTGTATTTAAAGGATAATAAGATATTCGCACTGGTAATCATACCAAAAATACTTTGTAATATTTTGTGTTTTTGCAGTGTTCGACTTCAGATGTTATATTTTTGCAAACTGCAACTAAAACTTCTTTTTTTTTCTTTTTTTGAAATCAGTTGATATGTTTTTTTCTTGGCAAAAAGACACCAACTTTGGCAAACTAAGAAATAAATATGAGAAGTCATTCCTTTAAAAAACAAACTGCGTTTTTGGATTTCATGTCTGTAGCTCAAGTATTTCAGTACGACAAACGGATCCGTCTGGATTCTTCGTCAGTCGAATAAATAGCTGCGCTTATGTTTAAAAACATAAAGCTAATTCTCTGCTTTTGCCTGCACAACAAGAACAAAGCGAGGCGAAGCGGTCAAACAGGAACCAAATGACATCAGGAGAAGGACAGACGAGGCGCAGAGATGTCAAAGGTCAAAAGGGCGTCTACTGGGGAGGCAGCGGGTTCTCCTGGGTCGTCGGGGTCTGTGTCTCTTTGTAGAAGTTGTCAATCTGCTCTCTGTACATCTTCAGCACCACGGGTCGCTTCAGCTTCATGGTCGGACCTGTTGGACAAGTGAGGGTTAGATGGTTACCCAGAATGCAGCAGCTGCAGGGCGACTCTTTGAACTTAACCCAAACAGGTTTGGCTCGGTTGTTAAACCTGCTATCTGACTTTCAGACATAAGACAAAATTTACTTACAAATGCTTTTCAGTAAGACATAGGAGCTTATTTTAAGTCCATAATTTCTTAATATTGATTAAATAAATACTAAAATCCCTGGAAGATTACAATGTTAAGTATTTATTGACTTAAAACAATCTCCTATATGTTGCTAAAAAGTTACTACTACTTGTAAGTTGGTTTTTATTTATTTTAAGTAAGTTATTTGAACTAGAAACTAGACAAAAAAAGTCTTATTTTCATTTCATTAGGGCTTCTAATCCTGCTGCATTTCATAGGAGCTGTTATGCTGCATAAAAAATTACAATAAGATTTGATTAATAAAAAAGCTAAGTACAAAATTTCTACTTTTGCCTGAATTAAAAATTAAATTGGAGCAGGACTTGCACTAGTGATGCACTGATTGATCTGCAAAAAATCTAAATTTGGCTAATTTTTCCCTGCCTGGTTCTAAGTGATCCGATCCGGTCAAATGCCGAAGAAATGCCAAAGAGGAAGCATGAAACTCGTCGTTCTCACTGACCCAGCTCTCCTCCGCCGACTGAGAAGTCCCGCTCCAGAACGATCCACTTCTGGATGCGCTGAGCGTTGGATGTGGCGTTCTCGTTGACCTCGTTGATCCCCTTCTGGATGGCGGCGTTGATGATGGGGTCCCGGCCGCCCGCGATGTCAGAGACGCGCGTGGCGTTGCTGCCCAGCTTCCTGCAGAGCTCCACGGCTTCGGGCGTCAGCTCGTCTTCGGGGTCGCCCGTCTCGGCGTTCACTTGGCTCTGCAGCACAGCAAACAAAACGACTTCAGCTTCAAACAGCTCAGACTTTCACAGCTTTCGTCTGTGAAGCTTTGAAAGAAGACAAAATGATTTACACCCAAGATAGTTTTCAGTAAAACTTTGTTTCTGATAGGAAATGTACAGCACAGCTCATCAGTTTCTACTTACATTTTGTCAAAAAGCTGGCATTTTAAGAAAGCCTTTTTAATATTGAATAAAAATATCTTTACTTGCATTATTAAAGTCAAGAATCTTGCTGGCGAATTAAGATCATTTTTTAATATCTTTATGAAAAATAAATATTAATCCTACTTTGTCTTTGTACATCGTAGGAGTCATTTATCTTTTCTTTTGTTTATTGCCACCAGGGGGCGCATTTCATTTTGAGTGAGTATTTAAGGTTGAGGGTGATTCTGCTTGGTTTTGATTTATGTCAGATTTATGTGGATCTAAATGGAAATGGCAGGACAATGGACATTGTATTGATAATAAATGACTATTATAATTCAAAGTGAAGATCAGCAGTACGAATCTTATTTAAGCAAAGGTAAAGCCAACGGCTCCCAGGAACATCAATCAGTAGCCTAAAGTATCAGATTTTAGCCGTTACAAATGTTTTGAAACAACTACATGCTGTGGAACATCAGCTGTGAACTTTATAATCTGCTTATAATTACTTTAATTGCCTAATTCTCACAGTAAGCTATTTGGATGTTTCCATTTTCATTGGAGTATTTTAAAACTGTGTTTTACCCTGTTTAAACCTTTCTATATGGAATAAATCCAACTTTATTATTTTGCTTTAAATAACTATGTCACGCAATAAGTCATTAAAAAGTATGCTGCCATCATCCTTCGACAACTTCCTGTCGTCTTCTTCATCATTTCTGGCAGGAGTAACATCCGGTTGTAGATCATGTGACTCGTGGGATGCGAATGAAGTGTTTTCTCTACAGCTTTGCGAAATTCAGCTGAAAAACAACCTTATTCTAGCATAAAAACTTTTTTTTTTGCGATTTGAAAATAAAT